TTGCCGGGTAGATAACGGGGGGGGGAGGGAAGAGGGAGCGGGCGCGAGTAGCGTTTGTTTTGTGTTTTTCTTTGTTTCACCCCCCGCCTCTCCGCCGGGGTGTTTTTGCGGAGGGGGGGGGGGTGGGGGGGGGCGAAAGAAAAGAAGGGGGGGGGGGGGGGGGGGGGGGCAATTTTCGAGCCGCAGGAATTTTTTATCAAATTCCTTGTATGAATTTTTTTTAGGCCATAGCATGAATATGTTTTAGGATTATTGGCGTGCATGAATTTTTTCATTTAATTTTCCCTTGCGCGAATATTTTTTTTGTACTACGTCCGCTTCCCCCCCCCCCATAAGTTTTCTAATGGTCCGTCCCTAAATATTCCAGGACTGACATTCTCGCATTTTGTTATTTACACAATTAATTAGGGGCTCGTAATTCTCGTAATGCGCTACTAGCACACGACATGACTTCTCGACAGATCATGTCGTGTAAATTAGACACACGACATTATATGTAATGTAGTTCGTACGACACACGTGGATATCGTAAGTGAAAACTGTACGCACGCGCGTGTGGATGGTCGAAAGTCATGAGATATGCTAGTCGCGCACGATAGACGTAAGCGAAAATCGTACTAAATATAGTCTCCAGCCTAGGTCTGACATGTCTAAAGCAATTGTGTTTTAAAATCGAACAGAGAAACCGTCCTCCCGTTTATGCAAATCGAACAGGTAGTTCGTTTCTTCCTTACTTTCTTTCCTTTCTATTTTTATTGCTGTTAATTTTCTTCAAGTTCGCGCAAATTACCAGCTCTTGTTGACTATTATGTTACACTGATGCCTTTCTACAGAAAATCCGATATTTTTTCCAACGCAACTGCGCAGTATTTTAACTTGTTAAAGGCCAATAGGCATTGGTCGCAGTATTTTAACCCACATTACCAAGTAACGATATATAGGTGAGGTGGCTTTGCAGTACTGATTAGGCGATTAAGGTGACAAGCAGGTGACGGTATTTGAAGGTATAATCAATCTGTCAGTACCATGAAATACTCAAAGGAACTCCTCACAATTGGTTTTTACGTCTTCTCTGCGTTCCAGTTCAGATCGAGCTGAAATTTGGAATTTTTGGGTTTTGAGGGATGGTGGAAACCGGACAAAGAGCGCCCAAAAAAACTCCCAGTTTAAGGAAGAAAACCCACAACATAGAGATATTGGTGTGAAGGCAGGGCTTCCTCCACTGCGCCACTCTCCTATGAACAGCCAATAGCATCTGGGGGGACTGAATGTCAGTACAATAAAAAGCATAACCGAGTCGGCCTCGTCTTGGCTTATGCTAGCTATGGCCTTAGCTGTTGGCCGTGATCTACGCTATTGAAGTGCTTTGCAGGTTCTAGTTTGTTATATTAATTAATAATGCAGTGCCGAACTAATATGCAATGCAAACAGTGGATTTTTCGAAGCGCGAGTTAAAGAAGTAAATTACCGCTACCAAGGTGACATAACCATAACGAATGATAACCATAACGAATTCTAGTTTGCTTTTGGCGGTCCATGTTTATTCAGGATCAACATGCATATGAGAACCGCTGAGAACCTTCTCTGATCCGAAGACGAATGAATTTTTCAGTTAGCTTAGTGCATAATTTAATAGGAAAAGTTAAAACAAACCATAAATTAAACCGGCACAAGCGATAGACAAGTCGTTATACCCTAACACTAACACTGAGATGATACAGCATTCTTTTTGCACTTGGCGCCAATGAATCAATCATCAGGTACAGTTGATTTTAATTTTTCTCAGTTACTCAAATATATAAAACAGACAGGTTTAAAAGAATGTAGACATTGAGATTTTGTATTGAGGCTATCCTATACCTAAAAGTTGGCATTTTTGATGATATTCTGGGCAACCATCTAATGATTGAAGACGATATTTCATGTATTTTAACAGTCACTGCAAGCTTCGGGAAATCACTTATCAGTCTAATGAATTTGGATGGAAACAAAGTCTTCGCATTTCAGGACCCACCCGTGAGTCCCTCAGAAATGCGGAAAGCTTGAATCGTCCTGGACTTGCCACAAGTCGTCCTCAGATAACTGAGTTTACCGCAGGAAAGCCACGTTTCTCAAAAGTCTATAATCGTCCGCTCAAAAACAAAATGATCCTGTTAGAGATGACCATTGCAGTCTCTGGATTTAATTCAGAAGAAGTATGACTGAAAAGCATTCGACTGATCGGGAAAAAAGTTCTTACATTGGAAAAAATTTATGCGGCTTGTGACTTTTATAAATTGGAGAAGAATATCGTCTTTAAAAATGGCGGGCAACAACGAATCAAAAGTTAGTAAAATGAAACGTTCTTTCTTTCTTTCGAATTCTATCTACATACGCGGACGAAACTTCAAACAGAGTCTGGAAGTGTATTTGCGGGATCCGGGATTTGACTGAAATACGGTGCGGGCGGGCAAACGCAAAATATTTTGACGGGAAACGGGATTCTGCTGCTCCCCTGGAAGCGCGATTTACCAACATTTGCGTACGGGAGGCGGGATGTTTTGCCTATCTGCCGGGAGTTCGGGAAAATATAAGTTCTATAGCTGCAAATGCGAGGTCAAACAGGCTAGCGTTCAGTAGTGTCTCCTATGAAAGCAAACTACAGTGAAACCTGTATTAAGCGGACACCCTCGGGGAATGCTGTAGTGTCCGCTTAATACAGGGTGTCCGCATAATACAGTTTTCGATAGATAACGTCATATGACGTGTCAGTATAGAGTGACCTTAGCCTGCGTGGCAGGCGTTTGAAAGGGAAGGGAAAGGGAGTTTTAGGTCGCCCCTCGCGTTTCCCTCGAGCCCAAAACCCCCTTTCCCTTTCCTTTCAAACGCCTGCCACACAGGCTAGAGTGACCTAGGTAATGATTATAAACTTGAAACTGTCAAGTAATCAACAGACGAGCACATAGACCGGATGCCAGGAAAGAGCACGTGGTGCAAGCTAGACTGCTTGCAGTCCGCCTTTTTTCTTAAAATCCGTCTGGTTCTCAGCCAGCGCGACTGAAAACCACGACTTTATGTTACAATAAGGGATTAGGACCAGACGAGAAAGACGGCCTTCTTAGGTTTCTCTGGCACTAACTTTGCAAAGAAAAATAAGAGACTGCTCGCAGTCTAGGTGCAAGCATATCAGTTTTAAGATGACTTGTAGCTTGCAAGCAAGCTCTCCATTTGGGGAAGTCGCGCGAAGAAACTATTCGAACAGTTAAACTTCAGATATGGAAAACCGTACAGTGTTCCCAGCTCTGCTCACTTGAATAAGACGGTCGCATAGATTTGGTGACGTTCTTTCTTACCGCCTCTGACGAGTCTTCTAGTGCCAGAATAGTCTGAGTGTTCTAGGCGTTCAGATAGTACAGAGGGCGCAAAGTAAAGTGAGGAAGCAAAAACAGGGGTGGGGGTTGTGGGGGAGAGAGAGAAAAGACTCTCCACTCTATTCCTTTCTTAAATTGGCCTTAAAACTCGTGTTCATTGAAAACAATAATCTTGAGGGTCAATCTGCATCTTACAATTATTAACCTTTGCAGCAATTAGTTGTTGTTGTTTTTTTAACGAATGTATTTTTTATAAAAAAAAAAGACGGGATTCGGGAAAGTGATGAAAAACAGGGCGGGATGCGGGATTTTTGTGAAACTTGAGGGAGGGAATGAGGGATCAGGAGCCCCCCCCTTCCCCCCCCCCCCCCCTCAACCCTTCGAAAACTCGAACTCGGATAACTCGAATTCCCCTCGAACTAAATTTCCTTTCCTTTGATCAAAATTTCACTGAAACTTACCCCGATAACTCGAATTCCCCGCTAACTCGAACTGTTTTTCGTTTCCCTTCATTCGAGTTACCGGGGTTCTACTGTAATACAGGACCAACGAGGCTTTCCCTGCTTCCTACAAAAAATCATGACTAGGATACATGGACAGTTTAATCAGGTTGTGCGTTAAGTGATGGTAAAATAGATTTCAACTTAAAAGTCGAGAGGGTGGGGGAAATTGTCTATATTTTGGGACTCCTGAACGACTACAAGCCTGTTTCGGAAGTTGTCGGTAAACATCGGTAAACCTTCGTGTCCGAAACATTACAGTGACGTCACTGTCGAAATTCGAAGATGGCAGATCAACGGGACCAGGGACTGAAGATTTTTGTTTCAAAACCGCAGACGGAAGGTGGACAATATCAAAGAGGAAGGGAGGCAGGGAGGAAGGAAACCGCGCAAAATTAAGTAAACATACCCTCAAAAAAGACTGTTGCATGACCTTGCATGTTCAGTTCCATGAAACTAGATTAGTCATATAGAAATCACATGTTTTGTAATGTATTTACTTTTTTCAGCAATTTGCTGAGTGATCAGTTTACATCATATTGACTGTGGGTCGAGTTACTAATCCTTTCAAGCCCTTTTCCTATTATGTCTGGAATTCCGTTGATGCCTTCCAGTGGATTCGTTAGTTTGAATATGCAAGGCGTGCAATTGTTTGTCAACCAATAACGGAGCGGTAAACATCTTTGCTAAAAAACGTGCGTCTTCATCATAGTTTAAAACTGGAGCATGACTTTTCATGATGGATCTCTTGGAAGACAGCTTCTCACTCCTTAAAAATACTGGTGCAAGGTCTTCTATGGCGTTGGGAGATGAATCGTTTCGTGAAAATGTCCAAGAACTGCTTAAACTGCTCTCTGCGATCAGGAGACACTCTACCGAATCTCAGGTCGAGGAATACATGAGTTTGCTTGCTGACAGCTTCCACGATGAGGTTGATGTCGTTGTGGAGGCGTTGGAAACGGGACAGGCTCTGGCTACAGTTCTCTCAGCAATGAAGCTTCATTTCCGGAATTTCAAAATTCAGCTGCATGGCTGCTATGTCCTGTTACGACTTGTGGAGCTAAGCCCGAGAATAAAGGGTGAATTTCAAGGCAAACCTGACGACTTAAAGTTTCTTCTGCAAATTATGTCTAAATACGCTGATAAGACTTGTCAAGTGGTTGGCTGTAAAATTATTTCCAATTTGTGCACTTCTACAAGGACAAGACGAGATGCTGTTTCAAATGGAGCAGTAGGTTCTGTGCTGTATGCTATCAGCCAGTTTGGCGAAGAGGAAGAATTTTACATTCCAGCGTTTGAAGCGTTAACTTGTCTCCTTGCAGACGACCTGAAAGTTAAGGAGAACTTCATAAACATGGATGTCCAAAATTCACGGAAAAAGGCTTATCGTATGTTAGTAGATATCATGGAAAAGTATACAAATTCTGGTAAGCTTTTTTTTAATTTTAAAAGAGTTCCCCTTTTTCTTGGAAAGGTAAAAGATGGAATATAAATATAGAAGCATGAAATACTATACAAGTTAACATTATTTAAGTCCAGAATGGTCTCCATAGCTTGACCTCAGCAAAGAGATCTTTAAAGGAAGAGGAATGGGCTTCCTTTCTTTTTAAGGTTATCTTTGGTTTACTTTATACTGTATGTACTCTAGTTGTTTTCCCTTCAGCGGTCAAAACCCTTTTGAATTAATCATGGGGTATAATTGATTATCTAAACAATAAACATTTAAGCTAAATGTTTGCACAGCCTCACAAATGAACACGCCCCAGTTGTTCAAAAGGTGAATAACGCTATCCACTGGACAAATCACTATCCAGTGGATAACGCAATAATAAAATTGGTTTCCACAAAACCTCTCCACTGGATAGCGATTTACGCAGGGTCCTAGTGGATTTTGCTCTCCACCATTTGAACAACTGGGTGGGTGTTGGGAAAATTCGAGACACTTCATTTGGGATTTGCATAAGTTTCGAGAGAGCTCCCAACCCGTTGAGTGTTTATATGAGGGTATCAAACACAGAGAAAAGAGGCATTCCATTGTTTTCATGAATAATTTAACAAATTGACAAAGTGCAGCACTACTCTTCATTACAGGCACTGATGAAAGGAATATACTTACTAGTTGCGAATGTTGTACATGTTACAGGTCAAAATATTATATTCTAGGTTGATTCGCTATCTCCTTTGTCTCCTAGCCCTACAGGAAATTGAGAATCAGCCTGAGGATTTGACCTCTGATATGTATGCATAATCAGTTCTTGTTATGCAGAAAGATGTCATCAAAATACAGATTTTTCTTGCTCTCAGTTTATGTTGCGAATTTTCAATTTATTGGGCCATCTTGTGAACTTTCCATTTCCATTTTTTTTTCAAATCAAGCTTAGATATTTTAGGTTATGATATGACCCTAACCCTAACCCTGGTTTACTTTTGCCTGTTTGGTGTTGGTATATGCCAAGTGCTAGCTCTTTTTTGGGGGGAAATATAATTAAATAGACTGAATCTAATTAGATTAATGAAAGTGGTATTAACAACTTGCTCTAGTCTGTCCATCCTGAAAGTTTCATAATTACATGTATGATAAATTATTTATTTATTCTTTTTAATGATCTCTTAATATTTTTTCTTTATAACTATTTTCCCTCCACTTCTGCAGCTTTTACCCTCGTAGGCTGTAAAAAGGGGGTTCTTAATGGAAATTAATATTTGCATTAAAGAAATACATGTTACTGACCAAGCATGAAGTTAAGATGGCTGAGTATTGGCCATGCAAGGTCTTTTTATATTTTTAGGGACCGAGTCAAAAAGAAAGAGGCCAGTGTCCAGCTATGTTAACAGCAGTATTGTGGTCTCTAAAAGGTTTATTATGTGGCCAAAAGATTGCACAATATGAGGGAACAAAGTAGGCAATTAGTAGCAGGCAAGATAACGCCATCTGCTTCATCTTGTCCAACTTTGATGTAACTATTCCTTGCTTATTATGATTTGTCTTTTTGGTTAAAGGAGACATCCAAGAGCGAGGAATTCAGCTGATGTGTGTTCTTGCAGCTTCAATAGCAAACTGTCGGATCATTGTAAAGGGGAGAACCTTTATTGTGGCTTTAGAAGCTATGAAGAAGCATAAAGAATTCCTTGGTGTACAGGCTGCAGGCTGCCATCTTGTGAGGCTTTTAGCAGCTCTAGAGCCTCACAGAGAGATTCTTGTTCAACAGAATATCGTTCTTCTTATCCTGCGGGCCTTACGTCAGTTTAAAGACAGTATTGATGTTCATATTAATGGTTTTGCTGCTTTAGTTCAGCTAACAGAAGCACTAGCAGACAAAGTGCATGACAGTAAGTAACTTATTGTAACTGTCTAGTTGTACGTCCTGGGTGAGGGTTTTTGTGTTATTTGTTTTTGCTTGTATCCAACTGCAGGGCTTCAAAGAAGAGTAAAGGCATATAGAAAACAAGAATGCTCTCGGTAGCAGTGAGTCATTCAGTCTTGCTTGCTTGGAGCCTGGAGGGATGGGGGGGGGGGGGGATTTGGGAATTTTTGGTTTGGGGGTGGGCCGTTGGGCCCTGGGACCCCTTGGCCTATCCCAGAGCTGGTTAATCGAAATTTTTCCTTTTTCTAAATTAATTTCCCCAAACCCCCTTATCTTAGATTATAGGTTTTTGGTGTTTAACTACAACAAGCACTTAAAGAAAAAAGGCAGGACAGTAAATAATTTTTTTTAACTGTTTAGTTGTCCGTCCGGGGTGGTGGTTTTTTTGTTTTTTTTTTTTGCTTGTATCCAACTTCAGGGCTTCAAAAAAAAGAAAAGGAATATTAAAAAAAAGAATGCTTTCGGTTGGAGGTAGTCTTTCAGTCTTTCTTTGTTGGGGCCTGGGGGGTTGGGGGGGGGGGGGTACTTAGGAACTTTTGGGTTGGGGATGTGCCGCTTGGACCCTGGAACCCTTAGCCTATACCAGAGCTAGTTCAGCTGAATTTTGCCTTATACTAGACTAAATTCCCCAAATCCCCCTATCCTAGAGTAGCAGCTTTTAGGCTGAGTTGCGTAAATTTAAACTTGCCAATTTGATGATTTGATATTTTTGAGTGGCAGTTCCCGGTTTCTCTAGTCTAGACTAACATCTTTAAGCAACTGATAACTTGCCTGGTAAATGATACCATATTCTAGACCCAACTCTCTGATTTATATACCCTATTCCAGAGTAAACTGCTTGAAAACCATACCCTTCACAGCGGCACATACCTATATAGTATGGCATTACCAACCCGGGGCTTGGAGATAATTTTCTTGTCAGCTGGTTATGCTACTTTTTGGATGGGAATCTCTAAACAGCCTAGAGGTATCAATGGATCGACTGGATATTCTGCTCTTTATAACTTGTGGTGATATATTTGCCGAATGCTTATTAGCTTTGTGGCATTTATTTCAGTCACGAGGATCAATGCCTCTGTCTTCTAAATGCCGCCTATCTATTAAACATCCCTGCTTGGGCTCCTAAAATGAAATAAATGGGCAGGACATCTATTAGATCATTTATGGTATTTAGTAACCAGTATTTGTTTCCTCAAGGAATACAAAACTACAGCTGGGCACAGGAAGTGTTCACTGCCATGACAAGGCATTGTGACAAAACAGTAGTTCTTCGCGTGGCATGTCAGGCACTGAAAGAGCTGATTAATGTCTACCCGGAGGTGCTTGACAGGGTCGGCGATGAACCTGATGATGACACTCTTCCTCTGCATCGCTGCTGTATGGCTGCACTAATGATGCACTTGGATCACCCAGAGCTGTGCCAGGATACCTGCCAAGTCTTGGCATCCATTGTCAATTGTTCTAGTTCTCTACGCGAGGTATTGACAAATTAAAATTATTCAGTAGTCTAACCTCAACTTTTTTCAAAATTGACTGTGGTAACCTGAAATAATATTTTAAAATGTTTGCCAGACAGTAGATAATGGTCATCAGAAAAAAGGAAAAAAGAGGTTTTATAAATGTATATCTCATAAGTGGTAGAACAAAAATTATCAACATGGCTGTCCAACTAATATGCAATCAAATTTGAAGGCAAACGCGAAGGGTGAAAAAGAAAATTGTAAAGAAAATGGAGCATATATGATATCCCATGCTCTCACACTAACTAAAGAAAGACCATAAACACTAAGTCATAAAAACATTACAGCTTAGCACATTTATATCACTGAACACACATCGCCAAATTGGCGACTTTCACTCCAATTTTAGTAACCATTTTTTTTCTACTTACCTTGGAAACTAAAACAGTGGCAACTTTAGAGTGTTGTTGTCCTCTGCATTAGTCATCATGCAATTATAAAATAATAGGCCTTTTGCAATAGTTGGTCACTTAATTTTGACCAACTTTCTGTAAACACAAAAACATTTTTTTTTATAAAAAAGGGAATTTTGCAGGAACTGTAATGTAAGTTTTCAGCTGTATATCTCCAAAGTTGTGATTGCAATGGCTGCTGAAAATTAAAAGGATTTGTGTGTGTAGAACGGCTCTTGGCACCCAGTTAATCCTCTTGTATAATGGAACCTCGATATAATAAAACTCTGTATAGTAGACAGTATTTCAAACTATTTTTCATCCCAGTAATAGTAAAATATGGCGAAAAGAACCTCTGTCTAATGATACTGTGATACAGCAAACGCATTTTGCAAGAGTCTAGGCCTTTTGTTACATTGAGTTTCCACCATGGTACAAAAAAGTCCTCTTGAACTCAGATCTACCGGTTTACTTGATGGCTCTATATACTAAAATAGTGTTCAAAAGTCAGTAGATGTCATATTGTCTCTTTTATGCTTTTAGTCATTGATTTCCAAAGGACTGCATTTTCATGTTATCCGTGCAATGATACATCATGAAGATGAGGCAGAGGTTCAGCGATGGGGCTGCAAAGTGCTGCTTGGATTGTCTCTTTCTGGCAGTGGTCATAAGGAACTTATGATTCACGTTGGAGTATTATCTCTGGTCTTCAACTGCACTCAAAGGTACAAATAACATTTATTATTAATAACTTGAAGCAAACAAAGATTAAGGAGATGCGTAGGAAGCAAGACTGAAGTTCAAAATGAAATTCAGGTTAGAATGGTTTCTACCTTGCTCGATTTTCAATTTCCTTTTTCCCCAAACCCTAATAATATTATTCATGATTCTGAAGGATGAAGAGACAAAAGAAATTGAAAATCAAACTACGTGTTAGCTGAAACCATTTTATTCTGGGCCGAGTTGTTCAAAGCTGGGTTAAGATAACCCAGGGTTAGTGCGAGGTTTGAATTAAGATTGAAAGCTTAAAAAGCAATTCAGTTTTAATTCTTTTTGTCCACAAGTTGATGATTGAAAGCTCTAAAAATAAGAGAGAAAATTATCCGAGAAAATGCTTTTGAACACAAGAAAAACAAACCAGGGTTAAATTTAACCCCGGGTTAAGCGCTAATTGGCCTTCGAACAACTGGGCCCTGAATTTCATTTTGAACTGCAACATCCATGACATAATCTCATTCGTCCAGTGGCTTACTCCTTAAGGGAAAATTATGTATTTTTACTGATTTCTTTTGAGTATGTAAGACCTGAAATAGAATCAACGTGGGTAAGGTAAGGTAAGCATAACATCTTTGTTGATTGGAATTATTTTTAAAAGCAATAAATACAGGTGTCAGTTACCTGTTTGTAACCTGTTTGGTTGCCGTGCATTTCACCTGTTCAACAGAAAGCTGTAAGTGTGTGTTTTTGCGTGAGAGGTCACAGCACTAATTTCTTTGTAAGAACTGAAATGGAATCAACTTGGTAAGGTACGCTTAACATCCTTGTTGAATGGAATCTTTTTTTTTTTTTTTTTAATAAAAACCATCAAGTCGATCAAATATCTCTTTATTTGAGATTAATCTAAATATTCAAGAAGCTAACTATCCTTGGAAGGAGCTAGAGACTGCATTTTTACTGATAGTATTGTAAGTTACAGTCAAAACGTGAATTTTTAAACTTTCAGTTTAAAACACGTTATGTTTAGTTTATATTTTCTCCCTGAAAGGTTTGAAGATAAAATCCATGTACAAGAGGAAGCTATAGCACTGATTGCTTGTTTAGCGACAGACATTGAACTTGTCTGGCATCAGTGCGCAGTTGAAGGAATCCATGACGTGATTTTGAAGGCCATGAGCACCTTTCCAGATGAGAAGTCATTGTCTGAGATCTCATTGGAGGCTTTGGGTATGTCAATTACTTGTTTACTTATGACTGGCCTAGCCTAAAAAAACAGCACTGACATTTCGAGACACCATAGTTGGTTTCCCTACGAAATAACACCTTATGTGGAGAAATTCCATACTGATCGCAGGTCACCACCCAGATTTAGGTAGTCCTTTTGATTGGTTGAAGCAAATTTTAAACCAATCAGAAGCACTACCCATTTCTGGGTTGTGAAATGTCATCAGTATAATTATATATATGGAATTTCTGTTTCTCAGACATCATTTCAAGGAGAAACCAGTGGTGACATCATAAAATGATCAGAGGGATCAATTTCAATGTTTGGTGTGCAAGGCTAGCTGCCTTAGTCTTCTCTCTGGTATTAAACAATGAACATCATTTAATCATTTGGTGACTGTTAATAAAAAATTCTTTATAACAGTCTTGACTTGTAAGTACACATTATCTTTGCCACTGTAGAATGCACCAATGGAAAGGAAGGCCCTTTAAGTTTTTTCATCCAGTAGCCTCTTCAAGGCTGTTTTTTGCCAAAATACACTTGGATTGTATGTTCTCCAGTGCATGACCTTTCTCCTAAAAAAAACCCCATTCTTGTGCACAGACCTATCTTAGAATAACAGCCATCATGACCTTGATTCTTTCTCTGGGACATTTTGCTGTAGTTTTTAATTTAGGAATTTCTTTTTTTTCCCTAGGTGTGCTTTCTGCGGCGCAGGAAATTCCAGAACTGCTGGTTTCAAAAAGTTCTGATCACAATGGTGTGGAGACCATTATTAATGCAATGAGAAGGCATAGTGCTGAGGTACCGATACAACAGAAAGGTTGTATTCTAATTCAAGTGTTGGCGCCATTGTTGTCTGATGATCAATGCCAAATGGCGGTATCTGCCATCATTGATGCCATGTATAATTTTTCAAAGGACAGAAACGTGCAGGTGGAGGGTTGTGTGGCCATGTTTGTCATTGCTCAGATTGATACAGGAAAGAGCGAAATGTTAGTGAACAATGGCGCACATGAAAGACTCTTCTCCATACTGGAAGAATTTGATGAGGACCCAGAATTGGTGTATTTGGCCGGTGAATGCATTTGGTATCTTGGCTGGGAACGGGATCTGAAGCAGTCGATGTTGCTGTCAGCATGCGCTGATGGACTTTTGAAAGGAGCCGACTGTTTGATAAGAAAAGGAGCTGATGTTAATGCTGGTAATGGAGTAAAAACTCCTCTTTTCCGTGCTTGCGAGAATGAAAGGGAAGAAATGGTGAAGTTTCTGTTAACTCAGGGAATAACAGATGTGCAATCTGCCCTCACACTTTCACTTGAAATGGGTTATGGCAATATTGTGGGTCTACTTCTTCAACATCTTGGTCATGACAAAAAAGCTGGAATCATCGCTTTTAGTGGCCTCAATCTGGGCAATTTGGAACCGGCATGGATATCACCTTCTCTTACTGGCCACAAATACTCTCCTCCAGTCCTTGGTGCTGGCTGGACTGATCATCTTGAAGACGCACAGAAAGCAATGCAGTTCAGAGCGCGTTTGAGTAGAATGTTGTCAAGTGAAGATTCGGAAGATGCCCTCAACGATTCGTGGAGCCCTAGTGAAGCTGATTTGGATTTGGGACTTGTGAGCAACACTTCAGAGGGAGTATTTAAGTCGTCTAGCCTTGAGTCCATCCATGACTCGGATTCAGATGATCCATGCTCTGACAAAGAGTTGAGTGTTCCAGAGTTAACTAACGAGACTCCTGTACGATCTAGAAGTATCAGTGGAGCAACCTTCCCTTTCAGTTCGCTTGATCCCCGCGTCGTGTCACCCTACTCAGAAAAGAACAAAGTCATTTTACCTAGAAGTGCACACAGTAGGTCATTTGATGAGCAACTGCCTGGTGTCCAAAGGCCAACAGTACAAAGACGCGCCATCAGTGATGTTACCCCACCCTTTGCTAACCAAGACCCTTTTTTGTGTGTGCCTAGTACGAGTACGGATCCAGTACACCGAAGTTCAAGTCCCAGGCTAGCTGAGGGAATCCCTGAGTATGACGAAGATGTCCAAGTTGGTGCCTTCAGGATGCCAGTTCGTAGCTATGTCTACAGGTGGGAGAACTTCAGAGAAACTCAATCATTAAGTGGCAGCTATGACAGTGCCAATTTTTGGCCTCTTGGGAGAAGAACAAGTTGTGACTTTGGGTCGCGACAAAGGAGAAAGCAGTCAATCCAAGCCATTCCTGCAAATCCAACAGTTCGATTTATTGACATTTCTGGTAATAACATAGAAACCCTGGACACGATTGCAAATGCAACAGATGAACTTCTTGCATATCTAGCCAAAGTTGAAAAGCTAGATCTCAGTCGCAACCAGCTGTCACGTGTCCCAGTTGATTTATGTGAGGCAATGCCTATTTTGGATTGTGTAAATTTAAGCCACAATGCATTTTCAGTGTTTCCTTACTGTCTTGTTGAGAAGGCAGATGGTCCGAAAGTCAGAGTTTTAAATCTGTCACACAACAAGATAAACTTGGTGTCACATCCTCCGAAGGAGAACCCAGAGGAGAACTGGGAATATACGGTATGGCTTGAGAGCTTAAACTTGTCGCACAATGAATGCAGCTATCTTCCAAAGTGGTTGGGGAATTGTTTCCCTGCCCTAACCCACCTGTACCTGGTGGGAAATGACATCAAGAATCTGCCAGATTTACCTTTAAAAATGTGGAGACTTAAAACATTAGACCTGTCAAATAATAACCTGACAGAGATTCCAGCTCAATTCTTGCAGGAATTTTTCTCTTTAGAAGCACTCGTGGCTTCAAATAATTGTCTCACTTCGTTGCCTGAAAAGATCGCTTCTTCTTTGACAAATTTAAAGACTGTTCGACTAAACAACAACAATCTCGGCGAGTCGAAGTCGCTGAAGAATCAGTTTTCAGTCCCACGTTTTCTTCTTGCCCTTCCCAATTTGAAAGTTCTGGACCTTTCCAGCAATAGTATGGAAGACATTCCACCTCCAATCTCTTGGTCTACACAGCAACTGAAGGAACTTGTGCTCGCCGATAACAAGATACGAAAGCTGTCTCTGAATGGTGTGGAAAAGTGGGATTTTCTCGAGAGGCTCATCCTAAGTGGTAACAACTTGAAGCAAGTGCCCAAAAGGATTGGTGAGCTGACATCACTTACTTCGCTAGATTTGAGCCGCAACACAGGAATCACGCATTTGCCAGATGAAATGGGAAGGTTGACTAATCTATGGGATCTTCAGTTGGTTGGCCTTAAGCTTGATTTGGATTCAGCTATTCTAGAGAGCAAGGCTCAGGAGCTCATCGAGTTCCTTCATTCCAAGCTTAAAAATTCAATACCATATTACCGTATGAAACTGGTGGCTGTTGGCCGGGCTGGTGTCGGAAAAACAACCTTGTTGAACCAGTTGCAAGACCTGGATGGTGCGCCAAGACCACATCGTGACATCGAAGTCAGAGACTGGGTCGTCAGAGACCACAAAGCAGAGTGTAAGACATGTTACAGGAAAGGTGTGAGCTATGTCATTTCCACGTGGGACTTCAAAGGCCGAGACGACTTGCACAGTGCTTTTCAGTGCCTCCTGTCAGTGCGCTCTTTGTTTCTGGTGATTTATGATGTTAGCAAGGGTGTCAGGGAGATCGATGCACTCAGACCATGGCTACTCGACATAAACGCGCATGCCCCAGATGCATCAGTCATGCTTGTGGGTACTCACAAAGATAAAATTCCAAGGGATCAGGTTGATCGCTGGCTAAACGAGATCAAAAACCGAGCCCTAAGCGTTTGTGCTGGTCCTGGCTTCCCCCAAGTCAAGATTCATGTCGTGCTGGACTGCACGCAGGAGACGTCTGGAGTCGAAACGCTGCGGCGGAGGATTATGCAGCTCATTACAAGATGCACGTGCAAGGGTCATGCCTTGATTGGGCCGATAGTGCCAGAGAATTTTATCCACCTTCAGGAGATGATTTTGAGCCACGTTCCAGAACGTGAGCTGCCCATCTTTAGAATGACCAAAATACGTAAGCTTATTCAGGAGAACAGGTTAATTATGGATGATGTTGAGATTGAGCAGGCCATCAGATTCATGAGCGAAGCAGGTGAGCTCTCTCGTATCCTGCGAGCAAGCTCTTCAATTATGGCGAGTGAAGAGAGCTGAGACAGACTGAGCGAGCGAGCGGCGAAGCCGCGAGGGGCGTCTCCTTTCATGTGCGGCTCTCGCGTGACTTCTCGCGACTCCCCCAAATGGAGAGCTTGCTTGTAGGCTAGGTTTCTCGGAAAACCTCATGTTGTAATGCACATAGGTCAAATTCAAGCACCATATTCTCTTATTCTGTGCGGCTCTTTTGTGAAATACGTTGTCTTGTTTTGTTACCCCTCCAATCTTCCACAGTACCTGCATTGTAGATTTTCTAAGTTTATTTTTGGTGTCTACCAGGAGTGCTTGTCCATATTGATGATCCAGCCTGCCAGTTAAACGATCTTCTTTTCGTTGACCCCAAGTGGCTGTTCCATCTACTGGCTGATGTAGTGACAAGAAGGTACAGTAAAAACACCAATGCCATCCTTAAACGGGAAGAGCTGGAGGAAGCACTGATTCACGATGGAAACGGAGAAACGAGACTGCCTTCAGAGTTGATACCAGAAATGATCCGGTAAGCACCCCTGCAAAGTTTCAAATAACAGTTGGTCATTGGAAAATGTCCGGCTAAAGTTGGCTTGTGCCCCCACGAGATTTTAACCGTGGTCGGAGATGCTGTCCGGAGTAAGTTAAAGGAGCTGTGTCACGAAATTCAGCCAAATTAGGACATTACAAAATGCTCGTTAAATTAAGAGAATCATAAAAATAACCGCTTAAAACTTAAAAGGAAGGTTAAAATAACACAACAGAAACAATAGATGCCACGGATGGGCAAAACTGAAGAAGATTGAAACGGGTTGAAATTAGGGTTTTTGAAAACTGTTAATGCTTGCAACTTCAAAAATAATGCTCAGGAGACGTATTTGTTTGTCACGGATCTCTGATTTTGTCATTGACATGTAATTTCTTTCCTTACTTTAAGGGCGAGTGATTGGCAAAATTCAACAAAATGAACTGGACTGCCGTGACACAGCCCCTTTAATAGGGAGCTTAAACAAAGACGTTTTAGAGCGACGCACGTCAACCGGAAGTAGACTGTTTACATTCTTGGGTACAGATTTTGCCCAAATTTTTGTTCAGTTAAAAAAAGAAGTTTGGAAGAAGAAATTTGGTTGCGTCAAGGCATATTAGAGAGCTTTAGATTCCATGACGAGGACGACTACAAGGCTACAAAGTTTTCTCGCCTGTTCTCTAAAAATAGACACCCCGGAAAGCTTCATTGTACTTTTTTTTTTCACCACAAAAATTAGCACGCTTGCTTCCGTTGAAGGAGGTAAGCCCCCTCCCGATAGCTAAATTATAACATTTCTAACATTTGATAACTTGTTTTCGCCACTACGACATTCTTGCTAAAACTCGTAGTAGAATGACGACGGCTACCGCATTTTCCGCCAAAATGACGTTGGTTCGCGCGCGCTCACCACTTAGTATTGGGAAAATCTCGTTCTCGTAGTCGTCCTCTTCTCAGAATCTAAAGCTCTCTACTGCGGCGGTCAAAAACGCCTTTGCTTAACATCCCTATTATCTGTTGTCTTACAACGTTTCCTTGTTCTCAGGCTTCTTCAATACTACTGTATTGCTCTGCCACTAAGAGACAACACCTACCTCTTACCATCGTTGCTCAGCACTAAGCAGCCGCCATTAAGGATGCCGCAGACAGATGCTCGGGCATTAGTGCACCGCCTCTACAAGCTGGCCTATCTACCTCCAAGTTTCTGGCCGCGTCTCATCACCAGAGTTCAAACCTTTGTGATCAACTTGTACGCAGAGCATAAAGCCGTTCTTGAAAGTCCACGAGAACCACAGGTTACCCAATGGAGTGAAGGGATTCATGTTTACTGGTCAGACCAAGCCTTCTTTGTTATCTGCCATGGTTTGATCAGGCCTCAACAAGACACTGTCCAGATTACAACTCCAAAAACAAAGCATGGGGCCAGAATTCTTTCCCATGTGGTGGATCATTTGGATTCTTTGTTCGAGGAGTGGTTTTCAGACTTATGGTGTAAGTGTTTTCGGGGTTTTAATTTCAGTTCAGTGGACTAGTTGGTAGATGCGGATGTTAAACATGCAGAATGTGAAAGTTCGATTTGGATGAAAATCATTGTAGTTTCAAAAAAACCGCAGAACTTGTCAGTGTAGGCTGTTTACACAAGTAACTTGCCGTAAATTCTCTGTTAAGCCCCTAGTCTGCTACACAGCCGTTGTAAGTGTCGTCACGCAACGCTCCTCCCTACAAACTAGTGGGGAGGAGCGTTGCGTGCCGACTCTAAAAACGGCTGTGTAGCAGACTATTAAGCCCCCTGCTAGTAGCAGAGAAGGCGAAAGATTGTTGTCAAGGCGCTCCAATTCCTCTTTAAATGAGTGGAATGACTGTCTCACACAGATACTGCACCTAATAGGGTGCAGTGACGCTCAGTACTAAAGGTCTGTGATCGATGATACCGTTTGAATGAATGCAGTCTTTCTTTAATTAGTTTGATTGTAAAAGTAAAGGTTTTAGAGGAGAGGGGGATTAATTTTCGTCCCCTCTTAATGGAAGCTTTACGGTAGTGTGATCTAAAGTGATATCGTTTGCAAATCGATTTTGTAAGTGATTTTCACGCGCGCTCGCGTTTCGCTCGCTTTACTATTCCTGAGGAAAAATGGAGGACTACTCGTAGTCTAAGGGGACCCAGGTATACAACATCGATTTGCAAACGATATCACTTTAGATCACACTACCGTAAAGCTTCCATTAAGAGGGGATGAAAATTAATCCCCCTCTCCTCTAAGACCAGGGTCAAAAGCTTGGGCTTTGTCTGTAGTCCCTCATTTTTCTCTCTCCCCGCCGCGTGTCACCTTTTCTCGCGTAGGGTGATTTTCACGCGCGCTCGCGTTTCGCTCGCTGTACTATTCCTGAGGAAAAATGGGGGACTACTCGTAGTCTAGGGTCGCCTTGAGACATGCACCTCTTTTCCTCTAAGTTGACATTTCTTATTTTGCAAGCATTTGTTTCCTAGGTTTACGGTCGTCCAGCTTATTCCAATTTTATATTCGACCCAAAAACAAATCTGTCGATCATAATCGACGGTCCTTGTGTCAAACGTCTTATGCTCTTGATAATACAAATATTAATATTACATGTATAGGTTATGTGAATTTATAAAATAACTAAGATAGTACGCGCGCTCTGATTGGCTAAAAACCTATGGTTTATTGTGCCGGTAAACTGCCGGTAAACCCATAGAAAGTGTGGTCTATTGCTTAAGTAAACTTTGACAGTTGAGAGGCAGAAACGTTTCACAACCACCAGTCATTTCTTTTAAATATGAAAATAAGGTAACGGTTACAACATTCCCGTTCGTGAAGGTTCAAAACAGTGGTATTAAAATGGTCATTTAAATGCGTCGCATTTGTTTATTCACTTATCTTACCCGCGCACTAATAGGCCATTTCCGAGTTCCAAACATTCTCATTTTCAAAACCCTTCCAGTGAAATGAGTTTTATATGCATGAAGATAAAAAATCATTTCCATATCAATGGCTTCGCAATTAGCCTCGCCTTGAAACAGAGGCATTGGGTAGCCCTGAAGTGGTCCATTGTATTATCAGTGTCTTTTGCATGACTTTGATATTACGGTTACACAATTATTCTTTCAGGCGGTGTGGATCCCCAAGACGGCCGTCCGCTTGTCCGAAAGGAGGCTCTGTGCCCTTTCTGCCAAGGTGATAAAGCTCATGCTTTCTCTTTGGAGTCCATATCCCAGTCAACCGCAGACGAGTATGTAATGTGTCCAAACACCAAGTTACTGGTCGACATGAGACAAATAGCACCAGATGTTGTCATGGAAGATGTTGGAGAACAGTTCAGAATTGAGGATAGCAAATTGGTGCTGGATATAGCTAGATATAGTTCGTCGAAGCTTGGTGATGGCGCTTTCGGGGCGGTGTACAGGGCATTTTACGATGGAAAGAGCGTTGCTGCTAAGGTGTGTAAATAATTTTCAATTCTAGGTTCTGCGTCAGTTAAGGGTCTCTTTAGGAGATACAATAAAGTTCAGATATAATGCCCACTGTGATTGGCTGAAAAAGCGTGTTTTTGAGACTATAAAACAGGAAGCTAAAGCTGTGTCTAGTCTTCATCCATCTGCCAATAGTTTGTTTTGAAAATTAGAAAGTAATGCGTGGGAAAATTAACGGAGTCTTTATCATAACACGAATAAAGAAACCTTGTCTGTGCTCTGTTCTGTTGTACAGCACTTAGAAAGCGGCTAGAGCAATAGAGATGTAGGAAGAAACACTCAACTTCGTCTCGTTTTTCCCACTTTTTTTTTTCTTTCGTGCTCTAACCTCTTCTTAAGTGCTTTACAACGGAACAGAGCACAAGGCCTCTTTGTTTGCTAATGTAGGCCCTCAATGTAGCTGTCCAAACTCTTGTTGAGTAAATCATCTCAACGTTCCAGAGCACTGATTCACCTCAAGACAAGCTAAACCTAAGTAGACCCCTTTAATGAGACTGCTAAAGAACACGCATCTGAAGCTTTTATTTGCTTTCGTCAGTCACCTTTCCAAAGCACGGGCATTTTTTATTGCGGGCGACAGGAGGAGCCCACAATCCTAATCTCCAGGTTGCTATTACGAAGCATCGCAAGTATGTAGCCAGCGTTCGTTTGGACTTCCACTAAGAATGAATGGAATGAAGAGAACGCAATTTGATCCCGCGCGTTTCCAACTTGTACCCCTCGTTATCTAGACTACGAGTAGTCCCCCATTTTCCCTCAGGGATAGTAGGGCGAGCGACACCTTTTCTCGCGTGGGGTGATTTTCACGCGCGCTCGCGTTTCGCTCGCCCTACTATCCCTGAGAGAAAATGGGGGACTACTCGTAGTCTACTCGTTATCTGATCAGGCGTGTTTTGACCATCTGACACATGAAACCTACGCAAAGCACAGCGTTGGAGCAAAAGAGGTTTGACCTTCGATCGTTGTTGCCCGCACTCTGTAACCTTTGGTTATTACTAGTTTTCTAAGAAAACATCTTACTATTTTTTAAGCCAGATACTGTCATTGAAAGACCGCCTCACTGACCATAGAGTTCCAGTAGCGATGAGCATAAAGTTTGTTTTTGAATTATGAAATCACGAGCAAGCGGTTAGACCACCTTAATCCGATTCTTGAACGACGTGAACATTTTTCCCCAGCCGTTACTATAAAAAAGACGTCAACCGTCTTCAAAATAGGATCCCCCATTGTAGAAGGCACCTCTTGGGACGTTTGTACTTTAAAATCTTCCTCTCTTAACTTTTCACTAACATATCAAGTTATGCGTCGCAAATTTATATGCCACACTAAATTTCCCATCTGTGGACCAAATCCCATTGTTTTACCATTCAAATGAAACCTCTGTGGCCGAACTGTTGTATAGTTCAAGGTACTTTTTATGACTTTACAAAAAGAAATTTGAACTTTTTGACTTCTATAAAAATTTTCTTTAGGTGTTTCATTGCAAAAATGAGACTATTCCTCACCGATTGTTACGTCAGGAAGTCATGTTCTTGCGCAATTTACGTCATCCAAGTATCATTAACATGGTAGGAGCGTGCATGAAGCCCTGGGCACTGATTATGGAGTTGGCGCCGCTTGGGTCTTTGAGTTCGTTGCTAAACAATGGTCAGGCTCTGAGCAGAGGGATCCAACACAGAATCGCGTTGCAGGTACTGTCCGTGAATATAGCGAGGCTTAAAATAGATAGATCAGCTGTTCACTTCCTTACTTTTGCCCGATTTTAATGAAGGTTTACCCGTATATGGAGCTTCTGAATCTGATCTTAATATTATACAGAACTTTTTAGATAGATGTCATAAACGCCGTTTTATTTCTTACCCCGTTTCAATTGAGGATCTATTAAAGAAGCAAGACTGTAAAATTTCTAAGAAAATAACTTCTATAAGTAATTACCCGCTAGCTCCATATATTCCTTCAAGGAAAGTCTGTTCTTATAATCTCCGTAAAAAATGAATGTGCCCGTCCTAAAATTAATACTGAGTGTTTCATATCTGCCTTTGTAAATAGAGTAATATTCAAACACAACCTTAGTACAGGATAGTTAGGATTCTATGATTACTTTATTTATTTTATTATGTTTTACTCCATATTCATAAACAGTTGTAACATAGGATATGTATCTTTATGTTGCGAGAAATTAAGACCCATTATTATTGTTATCATTGTTATTATTATTATTATTATTATTATTATTATTATTATTATTATTATTATTATTATTATTATTATTATTATTATCATCATCATCATCATCATCATCAAAGGCGGTAGTCAATGAAAACATGCCATTTAATTACTGGGAAATATTTGTGTTTTTTAGTAGGACTATACGCCTATTAGGAAGTTAACCCTTTGACGGCCGTGCCGGCCAAAACCGGTCGTACAAGACTACTCTGCTTTAAAACATTGCAACTTTCTCAATCGCGCGAACATTGCCTTAACTGTCAGTACAATATCCTTCAAATCGCTTCTTGTAAAATATCACCTTTTGAATTGGACAAGAACACTGAAAAATGAAAAACAGAAATCATCCGTGATCGTTGCAAAACCAAAAGTCAACATTCACGGTAAAATTCAGTCGTTGTTCTTGCTTAGAAGTGACTTTTTTTGTTCTTATTCGTTTCCCGGGCCGAGCTACAGCCTTTTATTCTAGTGCATCCTGGCCTTGCCGCGATTTTCATATTTAGACTAAGTCCACGGCCACTCCGACCTACCACAGAAATTTCGCGCTTGTTGTGAGTTTCAGTGGTCGCAAATTCCAAGATATGCCGTGGTAGGTCAAGAAATTCATCAGTAGTCGAGTCCCAAAGCGACTTCGTTTCGGAGCCGCCATTTCTTCAGTTCCACGAGCAACAAGCCAAATTCGCAAACGAAGTACATCGCCTTACTCACTTCTTTGAGAAAGGGGACTCTTAGCTACCGTCAGGCTTAATGATGCCCATCAGGCAGCCACTAATCGCATACAAACCATACTTGAGCCGTTATTTTAGCACAACGAAGCAAAATAAGTACGTCAGAATGACGTTTTCAGAAAACATGAGCCTGCAGTGACTTACATTTTAAAACCAGCATCTCTGCACCTTAAGCAAAAGAGCTCTCTTGATTGTTAGACAACCTTTTTCCTATTCATTTATCAAATTGCCCGTGATCATACTTTTCTTTACTTCAGGTAGCAGAAGGCGTGGCGTTTTTGCATCGTCACCTGATCGTCTACCGCGATTTGAAGCCACACAACATTCTCATATTCACCCTGTCCCTTGGAAACTTGATCAACGCCAAGATTGCGGATTATGGCATTGCTCGCTATGCCACTCTCTGTGGCCTTAAATCGACTGAAGGTATCGTCCCTTTTCTGTGATTGGGCACAAGAACTGAAGACCCTAAGAACCTGTAAGAATTTGAAAAAGGTTCTTATTTTCTTAAAAAGGCTCTTATTTTCTTAAAATCTATAATAACAAATTCTGTACACTTGGGCAAATAAGATAACTCAACTTTCAGGATCCTCTTTGGAAACATAAGTGCCTTATCACCCCAACTGCAGTGTAATAGTATGCATATTTTATGTAAGGAATAAGCTGAATAACACTCAATACTATTAGTTACAATCTATTCTTTTTCTTCAGAAAATTAGAACCTTTTTAAGAACCTGAATAGCCTAACTTTTATTTCGTGCAATTTTGTGTAAGAACCTATTTAGATTAATTTGGGAAAATGCGGGTTCTTACTCGGAGGGTTTTTTCTGTATCCTTGTGTATCCCAATAACCTGTGAACAGGTTGTTGTCCCTCCCCCTTCTAATGTTGGCCTCGAACTTGGACAATTCCACGTAAAAACCATATTACAAAACAACATAAGAAGAGAGAAAGACGGGTATCATAGCAGTGTGACACAAGTTGGTTGTCCCTGATTGTACTAGAGCTTCGTTCTATACCCGACATGAGATATAACATGCCAGAATCGAAAGCACGAGGAAAACAACAGGAAAATTTTTATCTTCATCTGAAAAAATAGCCGATGTTTTGCGAGGCTATCACTGGTTTCCCCGCGAAACGACGTCTGGGAAGACGAGTGCAGAAATCCCATACTGATGACGCTTGTGCTTGTGCTAGCGTCTAGGCGGCTTTCTCTTGAGAAATGAACAGTCTCATGCTTGTCTTTGGGCTTGCGTCTTACGTGGAAACCAAGTTTTCGTTTTGATAATATCGTTGAATTCATAAGTGTTAGTCTAGAGCTAAAACAGATGCCCCATGTAATTAATGTGAATGCAATGATCATTACTTCAATTCATTCACATTCGTGGCTCGTACATGATAATTTAAAATACTTTTACTACATTTATTGCTTGCTAGGGAACATGTAAACCAGTACACTAAGCTGCTCCAGTGATGGCTCATTTGATTGTGCAAAGCACCGGTAACGCGCGCGGAGGTCTTAGGTTCGAATCTCGCCAAAGCCAATAATTTCGTACAGGCTTTTTTTGGCGATAAACAAAAAAATGCCTTCGAACTGCGATGATCCTTCTCGAATTGCAATATTACAGCGCATAAAAACGTTACGATACGACAATCTTGATTACGTTTTTTTTACTTCGGCTGTTCTCAATATAACAGGTACACCAGGATACCGAGCCCCCGAAGTGGCCCGAGGTGACATCGCCTACAACACAGAGGTGGATATGTACTCTTTCGGCATGTTTCTTTATGAGCTTGTTACGGGCGGTACCAGGCCATTTGAGGACCTGCGCTTCCGGCACGAGCTGGACGCGGCCGTGTTGAAAGGTCGAGCACTGGATCCCATCACTTGTTCACCTTCCTGTGCCCCGTGGCCGGATGTAGCAGATCTTATTGCACACTGTCTTGAGCCTCACCCGAATAGGCGAGCGACTGCTGAACAGGTAACCGCCAGCTGCTTCACTCTAGCGGCTCTTTACTCCAAGGAATTGACAATAGAGAGATTTTAAATCACGTTTATGGCGTGGTCTGTTTTAAAGAAGAGCCCAGTATGGGAAAGTCGATTCTAACGACAAAGCTAAAAAAAAAAAACAGGAAATGTTGACGTTGACTTGGAGAAGTGCTCATTAAAATTAAAGCGAATTAACGTCCAAAACGGGTTTATCTCTGACCACAGGCACAAAGGTATTTAGTGCACTGCCATAGTACCTCCGAACAAAGGGGCCGTTTTGATAGAGTTAGGGATGTAAAGTGGATAGCTTTCTCGCAAGAAAAATACGTAAGAGGACAAAGTGAACGAAAGTACGCCGTTTACAGCGACGTGTGAATTGTTTTGTGTTATTCAGATAAGTTTAGCGGGAAGGCAGCTCTTTTTTGCAGGATGTTGCAAAAATGTTTCACCAATTTATAGATTACTGTTTCTAATTTATAGATTATTGTTTCTTGTTGTTCCTTAAGGCGTATTCTCGTTTGTGTGACCCTGAGCTCATATGTCTCAAGCGTGATATTGCAGTGTGCAAAGGACAGACAGTGGAGTGCATGGCTGTTCGACACTTTCTTGAAAATGGTGCAGCGAAAGTGGAAGTGTGGATGGGCAGTGGACAGTCAGATAGCGTGAATGCGCAAGTTACAATCGTCGATCTCTCCGAGAAAGGAGTCGAGGTACAGTCCAACGAAAAGCCTGCGAATACAGCCCTCTCTCCTCGTTCCTCGTCGCAAGGAACGTTTCGTCGTCTTTCCTGCCGCGAGGAGAGAGGAGAGACGGCTGTATTTATATACCTCCACGGTGATTGGTTGAAAAATCTCGCCCCATTTTCTCAACCAATCAGAATTGGAGCCAAAACCAATCTTGACTTGCTTACTGGCATTCTCACTGACGCATTCTCTCGATTAATTCGAGATGTGATTGGTTAAGTCGTTAAGTTGTGTTGTTGTTTGCAATACAAATGACTTCGCCGGGTTGTGTTATAGTTTAGTTTTAGATGTTTATTCAGTTTTTTGCTTAATTTTTTCATTATGTCCTTAAAATGGGATTTTTTTTAAGCTTGGTAAGCTCTAAAAACTGTTGGTAGGAAAGCGAATTTAGTCAGTTGTGTGCAATAGACTGTTGATTGGAATTTTTAACTCACTATTTAGCCTCTTTGTTCTTTTTCCCCAGGGCTGCACGGGCACATTCGTCAAAGACAGACGAGTGAAGAGCATCGTAGCAGTGGATAGCGATATTGTCCTAGCTGGTACACAGTCGGGCAAGATTTGGGTGTTTGACGCCGTCAACCACAAATGCATGTTCTCCCAACCTGAGCTTCCTCACGCAGTCCTTTGTCTTAGGCACTACAAGGAGCAATGTAGTGGCGTGAATTTAGTGCTCGCTGGGCTAGCCAACGGAAAGCTTGCGGTGTATGATGCTAAAGGTGTCAAGATGGAGGAAGCGCAACCGAAGCTTTACGATTTGTGTTGCAGTAGGTTCGAAGATGCCTCCTGCCATGAGTGTAAAATACATCCAGTGGCTTGTACGGCTGTTGGGAAGAAGAGGTTATTCTGCGGCTGCGGTAACGAAGTAGTTGTTCTCAAAGTCAATGAAGCTGGCGAGTTAGAAATTGAGCGTCGATGGACTGTCGAGGACAGACATCAAGGGCTTGTTCTTAACATTGCCGTGGGGTCTACTTATGTGTGGACTTCGACTCGCGATAGTCCTATCATAGAATGCTGGGATTTTTCCAAGGGCAAGTTTTTCAGTCAAGTGGATTGCATGGCTATTCTCAAAGACGCTGGTTACGTTAGCGATCCACGACAAACGCGAGTACTTAGCCTTCTTCTCTCGCACAAGACTCTGTGGGTTGGACTGGGTACTGGTCACGTGATTCTTATAGACCCTGCCACGCGGAAGCAGTTGAGCATGATTCACAGACACGTGTCCGCTGTGCGGTGCCTGTGCCTTGCGGACTCACGTAACCCAGAATTAAGTGACCAGAAGACATCTCTGATGCTGTCAGGTGGTATGGGTTTTATTGAGAGACCCGGATGCGAGCGGAAGAAACCTAACAACGAATTTGGATACGCATTAGCTTGGGAGGCTGACTTCACGGAGCAGGCCAAAGACTTGGAGAGCCACATTCGCAAGAGGCGTGAACTCACAGAAAATAATTAGAACTTTGTACTAAAAAGGCGTTCACTTTGAAATGGTTGGAAAACGTGTGCGATGGTCTTTACTGAATATAACCTGTAACCCCTTATAATGATCGACATGTAGATTCGCCATAGCATACCACGGTTTAGTCAAATATTCACGGTAAGGGTTAAGCAAACTATTTTTTTTTTCAACCAAAGTTGGGATCAAAGTTTGATTCCAATTGTAACACTGGTTGCAAGTGGAAAAGTTAATTCTTTGCTCTTTTTTTTTGTACACTGCTACATCATAAGTGTTGTTGTTGTGGGTTACAGATCGGTTTCTTTTACTTCTTTGTTCTTTGGTTTGGGTAACTGTAATTTCACGTTTCATTATTTTTAGCGGAACAGGTTTTCATTTTCTTGCCAAAACTATTTTAAATTGTATAGGAAGAGTTAAGTCAGTATTGCCCTGGAGAGATCTTTTAATTGGCGATTTTACGTCGTATATTTTGAGTTTTTGCATCGGTTATTCGGATAATTATGATGATTTGAAGGCTTATTTGTATAAACGTGATTTGTTGAAAGGTTCGATTTGCAGATCGTGTTAAATGTTTTAGTCACAGTATTATTGTAAATACTAGGAGAAATAACTGTTGTACAATTAGAACTGGTAAAAACGAGCAATGCTACCTCCTTTAACATATGAGAATGTAGAGATTGTTTTGAAGTGAAACAACGAACTAAACGTATTGTGATTGGTTGACTTTGCGCAACTAAAACAAAGATATATTTATGACTATTTTAATTAATCCATAAATCGGAAAGAAATAGCCAAAGTTAGGCCATTTGCTAAACATTTTTGGAGACTTGAAAATCCATTCTCGACTACTGTGATCAGATTGGGTAGAATATTTATGACAAATTAATAGCGTAGAATCTGTAAATTTTGCAAATTTTAGGATAATCATTTCCAAGAAATAACTATATAGATCGAGAGTATGTAAAAGGTAGAATTACTTGAAGTTTTCGTAAAACGAAGAAGTTCGTCCAGAAGCAGAAATTAATACATCAGTAATTGTAAAAACATAATTCAAAGTAGTTACAATTACAAATTGCAGAATTTGGAGTCGTATCCAGAAATGGAATAAAGATGTTTCAAAAAACTGAGAATTGAGTGAAGTTGAATGATCTGTTCAGGTAGTTGTAGATATCATAGTAAGGAAAATTACACCTGGCCTCAGCTCGGCCATTTACAATCGGCCTCTCTTAGGAAAACATATCAATAAAGTTACTTAACCGAATCTTATTTATTTTACATCGCTGATGAAGTTTGAGCGAATTGTATTTAATTTTTTTGCCCTGAGTTGTGGAGTTTAATGTTTCTATTTTGACCCAAGGATAATAGAAAGTCTTCCTATTTAAATCCTGTCGTGCTCAGGCAATTGTTTTACGACATCATATCAGTCATATTCAAACACCTATTAACAACGTTTTAAAAGGATTAGAGAAAATGGCCTTGATTGACCATGATTGCTGTCATGGCCAGTCCTTTTTTTATATTTTATATTTGCTTTCGGCTTTCAGCTAACCTTATCCTGATCAAAAAGCGTTTCAAGTTGCCAATTTTCAAACCCATGAAAATCGGCGCAGCATTTCGAAATGCCGGCTGGACAAAACAAAGAGGTTTACATTCTATTTTCATGAGCCTTTTAGGGATTCTTAGGAATTCCGCAGGCGTGCTTTTTTCAGTCCATGTATTGAATACGTTTAGATTAGCAAACCCTATAAAATCGTTTAATTGACGCTTTTTCTTTCAACAAGCGGTATTTTATTTCTTTATTTGTCTCTTTGGTGTTTAGTCACTCACATTACATAACAATATCGAGCATGGAGCCGATATTCGTGCTCAGTCCGAAATTTTGTAACATGATAAAGTGATTTCAGTGATCTATAACATGCAGATGATGTCCTGTTTGCTATCGGGAGCCCTATAGAACCACTTTACCTTACTTTCCCTGGATATTAAATCAAATTCAATAACAGAAATGTATTGCAAATCAGTAAAATCCAACTGGTGGTCTATTATCAATGCTGCGTTCTGATTGGTAGAGCTACTACTAGGCTATATGTTATAGCCCACTAGTAGCGAAAGGGGCGGGCTTTTTGGCGGCAAAAAAGGGTTAAATGCGAGCTTTATCGAGCTAAATTTTTTTTATTGTCGATATTTTTTTACCAACTTGTTGGATTTTACAAAAACAATTATTCCTCCCGCCCTAATGGTCTCTGAGTCAACAGCCCATTCGGCCTTCGGCCTCATGGGCTATTGACTCAGAGCTCATTTGGGCTCGAGGAATAATTGTCAATGAGACTGAAAGACTATTGCCATTAATCAATACCCTCAACTAATGGAAGTTCTATTTGTTGATGCTATTGAACTCCACTGATCAAAGTCGGCATGGGCAAATATTAGAGGCTGTGTCAGAGTCAAAGAGTTCGAAGCCAGAACATTTAGTATATTGATATTGCTGTGATTAATCTGAGAAAGGGATTTAGAGAGCAAGGAACGATGAGCAACACAAATAAATCATCAGTTAAACTGTCGAGCGAGTTATCGAGCACTTCAGTTCCTAAAACCGCTGTTCCCGACCCAGGACCAGATTGGAAAACAGCGAAACTAGAATGGGGAGTCGCATGGGAGTTTCACTGTTATGGTCTGGGCGTTGCATTCGCGTTCCTTTCCATTAGCTCTGTCGCAGCCATAGTGCTGGCAAGTAAGAAGAAAGCCTTCGCTCGCAGAGTTTTTTTCGATGCTATCAACTCACTGCAGGTGTTATTCGGGATGTCCCGTGCGTTGTGCTTGTTGATTGATCCATATGAATCAAAGATGAACATAGCCAACTGTCCAGTTTGGATAGCAAGACCACTCTTTGGGATCACCTTTCCTTGTTTAACCTCATCTTTCTGTTTGATTCATTTGGCTTTTCTCGAAGTTGCCAAGGTTCAACTCGTTCCTCCAAAAATTCAAAACTTTAAAGTTGTCGTCAGCATAATAGGCCTTCATTTTCTTGTGGTTATTGTATCTGACACGACCGTTGCTTTCGAGGGCAACTTGACCGAACTTTTAATTGTCTGTCAATCGTTCTTTATCGTCTGGGGATTCCTCAACCCGATCTCCTTCATGTATAGTGGTTCTAAAGTCGTCAGCCAAGCAAGAAAAATTCAGAGGCAGCTTTTAGCGATTCAACAGGCAGAGATTAGAAAGGAGGCTCCAAAACCAAATAACACACACGTCTGCTGTAGAACAAGTAAAGTGGCGAAAATTACATTAGCAACCAGCGCACTAGGAGTGGCCTGTTGTAGTCTACAAGTATATTCCCTCTTTGGTGTTTACGGCATGTATTCAAAAGTTGTTAACCCAAAACCTTGGCCTTGGTTGGCATTTCAGACAAGCTTCCGTCTTGTGGAGCTAGCCATGGGGTGCACCATAGCCTACAGCGTTTTACAATCGGCGGACAGGGGTCAACACCTTTAACATTTGAAAAGTTGTTTTCGATCTCGTGTAAAATGGATAAATGTAGTACCATTCAATGGTAACCCTATTGCGAACACCCGCTGTTAGAGTAGCTTTACCGTGTGTTCCTCTAGACAACAGAAATAACCTTAATGTTGAACAATACGGTGTGCACCACCGGTAATTTTACCTCCATATGGCCTGCCCCCTGCTCTTGTATCAACCGGGTCACTTCTTGTGACTCATATTTAGCATGGATTATATCGATTTCAGAATTTTGAGCAGAATAAGCGATTTCTCCTGGCAAAAAACTAAGGCATCTTTTAGCAGAATTCGTGCGGAATGAGGAGAGATCATCAAAGTTGCAAACTACATACAAAGCCAGATAAAAGATCGTCATAGAAAATTCACCGTTTCGACTCATGAGAGATATTTTAATGAGAAGAATAGGCAACTTTTTTGAACAATGCCAACAGACTACATGTGATTGTAGAGTTCTTTAGGTGTGTTATTCACTAAATAAAAGCTTCATTTTGTTAAAGGAAAATTAAGTGCCCACAACTGCCCAAGCACATACTTAAGAAAATATATTTTGTCGCTACCTATGAGAGGAGGAGAATGGCAGAGGATGAAGCAATAAAAACTTTATACAGGCTTTACAAACGTGTTATTACATTGGAAACTGAGAGGATCCACAATGAAAGGCATAATAACAGCTGGTGTCTTTAAACTTTTATGCCTTACTTAAAACAACCAAGAGTGATCATCTAAGGGAAATGCGTTGACCTTTTATTGATCAGTCTATTCCTCTAACATGCAGGGCATTAGTGAAAAACTCTGAAAAAAAAAAAACAGTAATTTCAAAATGACTGTGCAGTGGCCTGTTCTAACTTTAGTTAAGCACCCCTTGGGTTAGTCCTGCCTCTTGCTGTCTTGTCTTAGTGTCATCTTCCTTGACCTTTTCACAGTTTTTTCAACTTTTTATATGGATCAGTTAAGGAAAATTCATCACCACCACTGAAAAGAGCGCCTTAAAATTAGCAAAATTGTCAAATTTGAAAGTGCTACGTCTTAAGCGAATGGAGATGTAGCTCCGAAAAGTTGTGAAAATTGACAGACGTTTGTATGGTGGGTGGGGGGCAAGTTTGTTCCCCCCCCCCACCATACAGCCATCTGTAAACTTTTGCGACTTTGAGGAGCTATCTCTTCATTAGGTTTAACAAATCACTTTCAAACTAGGCAATTTTACTAATTTTAACCCTTTAAGCCCCAAGATCTAAATACAAATTCTCCTGACCGATCTCCATACATTTCTGTTAAGAATAGTTGAGATAATTTGGTTTAAGATCAAAGTATTCTCCCTTTGGTCATCAATTTAGTAATTCTCATAACCTTTACTCTTGTTGATCTGCTGATGTTGTTAGGAGGAAATAAATTGATGTTGGACGCTCTTGGGACCTAAAGGGTTAAAGGCACTCTTTTCAGTGGTGTCGATGGATTTTCCCCAACTTGTCCATGTCAAAAGTTGAAAAAATCTGTCAAAAGGTTTATTACTACCAGTTCCAACAACAGTTTCTATCTTATATTGCTGCGGGGAGGGTTCATTGTAAATTTGGTAACATACATTAATTTTTTGCCTTAGTTTTCTTTTACATTCAAATATTTGCTTAGATGTGGTATGAGTGGTAGGTCACCCAGTTTGACTGCAGATGTTTTGGCCTGTCCTTGTGGCTGGAAGAGAAAAGTGACTTGAAAACTTTGCTTGCCTTGGGGTCTTCAGCCACACTCTTGTGTTTTGACAGTTCAGGAATCTTCCCCTTTAATGAACTCGCTCCATTCAATTTTGCCCCTGAAACCTTCACATCACTTGCAGCAGCTCCACTTGTAGAGGACGTGTGCTCCGTCTTGGCTCGCTTCGCTGGTTTTTCTGGGCCATCCTTAGGACTTTCACCACTGGAACTGCTAGACGATGATTCCCCATTTCTGGAGGTTACAGTTTCAGAAATCTTTGTCTTCTTAGCTTTCTTCTCCAACTTGCTTTTCTGGCGCCTTTCCTCCATCTTTGCCCTCATTTTACCCAATTCTTCCTCGCTCCCATTTATTACTACAATGTCTTGGTCTGTGAAAGGTTTGCCACAGTTGTTACACACAGTTGATGGAACTTCTTTCAGTGCTCGCTCAGAAAACACGCAGCCACATTTCCACAGAAAGCAAAACTTGTATCTTCCGTTCATTTCGATCCCAACAACAGGGCAGATAAAACGGGATGCTTGAAAATCCAAATAGCTGTCAGCATGCTCAACAGATTTCTGTTCAAAGGCAGGATTGGTGGTCAGTTTTAGCTCCTTAACATCTTTCAGGCTTCTGATGTGGCTAGCAATGTTAGTAGTGACAGACGATTTGTCGAGAAGGTATTCCAACACGGCTTCTTTGTTGTACAAGTTGCCCAGCTCACAACAAACGATGGGAGTACTTAACTCTGCCTGGCTTAAAGCACAATGGAACCACTTTGCGTTTAACTCGTAGTTTTTGTCGACTTGTTCGGGCTTCTTCTTCATCCGAACAAGTTCATCTCGTTTGGGAATTGTTCCACCATCACACCCCATTGTTCAAGTGTCTTTTTTCGCGGAGAATTGTTCCAAAACACAGAGGAAAACACTTCGAGACACAAAATGGCGGCGAGTAGTCGATGACGTACGTCCATGAACCATTGCCGGCAGGTGTACATGAAAAGGCTCGGTTACAAAGCTGATATTTGTCTATGAATGTCAAACAAAGATGGACGCCTGCTTGACAGTCGAGCGAGAACAGGACAGATTAGCAAAGAAATACACGAACATTAAAGAACATACAGACTCTTCCTTGACAGAATTAATTAATCAGATAACTAGTATACAAGAAGAGTTGTCTAAAGGTAAGAATAAAGTTTTGTTTTTTCTACGATCTGTTTGTTATAAAATTGGAATTTCATTTGGAATTGAATCAGAGAAGAAATTAATTATAAAATAGTTATAGATTTGGCGACGTGCTTGCATGGGTGTAGAACAAAAATATATACAAAAATAGGCACAGAATTACATAACTTCACTGGAAATTACTCATAAACCTGCCAAAAAAAATGACGAAAGAAAGGTATTGGTTATGACGTTTCCTCTCTGGACCCTGAATTATTATTTCTCTTTGTAGCTGGCAAAGAGGATGAAGTTTCCCCAGTACAGTTACATTTTCTCAACCAGTCATCAAGAAAGGTGAAAGACACAGTGGCCAAAGTAGCCACAGAACACAAGGAGCTTCATGGAGGGATCTCAAAAATTGGGAAAGCTATAGACAGAGTAAGTATCTCATCATGTCAGTGACATGTAACAACAATCATTGTGCAGAGACTATTTAAACCAACTATTACTTAATTTGATCAGTTTTCAGAAGGCAACTTTGACTGCAATCACGTTCTTAATACTTTGTTAAAACACTTTCAGAAAATGCAAATTTTTGCACAAGTACACCTACAGTGTAATGCTCTCCTCCACTCCTCCCAATGTTCAGTGGCGGACCTAGGGGAGGGGCCCTGGGGGCCCAGCCCCTCTCCCATTTTTAGACCAAACTGAGGCCCAAAGGGCCAAAAAAAAATTTTGGAGACTGCCCCCCCCTCCCCTTATCTCAGGGTCCCCCCCCTCTTATCTCAGGGTCTGGATGACTGGGCCCCCTCCTTATCTCAAGGTCTGGATCCGGCACTGATGTTGGTGTTATGATGGCCATTTGTTTACAGGACAAGTTTAATTTTAGGTTAAACATTTTTAAAATGTTTAACCTAAAATCAAACTTAACCTGTAAACACCAGGCAGGCAGGCAGGTGTGCTACATGCTATCTCTCCGATTTCGATGAAACTTGGCCAGTTTAAAGGGTCTACCCCAAAACTCAAAATGACAAACTGGTTCATAGTTTGGATCTTTATGGTGGGAGATAGCCCACCCAACTGGTTTAATTAGATTTTTTACCAATAAAAGTGCATTAATAACAGGCAAAAGTAGGAAGCTCTCAGGACAACTGTTTTTAACCTTTGACTATGAGGGTTTGTATATATGTTGATGCATCTTTAACGAATGCAAGAATATAAGTTTCAGTCAATTTGACTGACAGCTCGTCAATCACCGGCCTTGAATATTGGACCATCTTTTTAGCCATTCAAATATTTGCTGATTTTGAGATCAAATATCTCTCCTTGCCAGAAAGCTATGACAATAATTATAAAATAGCAAAATTATTTTGCTATTCCCTGTTTACCAACCCTTTAGTCTATATTAAACATAAAAAACATTTCTGGGCTCTGCCTTTTTTGGGCGTCAGATGCCAATTGAAAACTGCACTTAAAACAAGTTTATTTCCACTTCACCTGTCCTATAATTCAGCAATTAAGGGCCGCTGAAGTTACTAAACTGACATTTTCCAGCCTGTTATACAAGAATGATAATTGAGGAGTTTAATGCATCCTTAAACCTTCGAGATTTTGTGAGAAAATTAAAGATTTCACACTGATTAGTAATGCATGTCACCAAAATATCGAAGGCAAAATCGTAATGTTTGTGACCTCATTTTGATTTTCTCGCAAAATCAGAGATTATGCTTCTTACGAGTTAGACTATACAGAAGTCCTTCATTCAAGTGTTTATGGTCTTTACTGTGACAAAACCAAGCTGTTTTTAATTTCCTGGGCAGAATTTTCAAGGCCACATGGCAAGTGGTTGTTGACAAGCTTTGAATCACGCCAGTATATGCCAGTCATAAAGCAACGTCAACTCGCACATCTAATAACAACATTCAATGATGGGAAATTCTTCCTTCTAGCGATAAAGAAATTAAGCCCTTAAAAAGTTCATTTAGTTCAGGCTACAACCTCAGAAAAAGAATAGTGTTAATTTTACTTACCGCCGTCAATCTAATTCGTCGATCTACGCCTCGGTATTATGCATGCTGCGTGACCAGACAATGTTTGTTTAGAATCCACTTCTTTGCCTTCCAAAGCCTTTCAGAATTTTCTACTTATCTCTATAACTAATTTATCTCCTCCTATGTTCATTTTTTGTGCAAATGCAAGTGGTTCGAAGATATCTGTCACTCTCAATCACCAAGTATTACATGACAAAAAGAAAGAGCCTGCAGTGTTTTGACCAGTGAATTTCTGGCACCTTCCCCGGCAATTTAAATACATTCTAAACAATTTTGGGTTGTGTAGACTGGAGGAGAGGATGAAAAAAAAGTAATAACAATAATAATACTAAGCCTAAAAGAAATAGCCGCGTTGACCAGAAATCTGCTGAAATGAAGTTAGCACCCTTCTCTCTTGGAAAGCTACACTTCCTTCAGGCTCATTCCACTGGATAAGAACCCAGGAATTAGACCAGTAGGAGTTGGAGAGGTTTTGAGACGAATAAGACCATATCCACCTTCTTAGGGCCTGTTTACAAGAAGAGAGGGTTACCCTAGGAAGCAGGGTAAAGTTAGCTCTGGTTTACAAGAAATTTGCCTTCCTTAAGTTTAAGTTAAAGTAAAAACTATGGGGAACTAGTGGATGCTTTTTCTGGAAACCAGGGAAGCCATGCGATAAAATATAACATTTATTTTAAGCTGAAATAATATAGCCAAGAAAAGATAAGTAGTTGTCAAAACATGCTTCGCGTATTCACGTGTTCATTTTCCACTCAGGGGTTCAGCTTCTGTAATCTAGCTACAATACGTTTTTGTTACTCCTTTTCATTATCATACTAAAAATGCAGGCTGTTTTTCAGGGCTTGTTTTGTAGTTCGTACAGAAAAATATACAGCCATACGAAAGCTGAACTCAGGGTTTTCTGCCTTCTTTCCTTCACCCTGGCCCCTCCCTATCTTTAACCTCAGTTCACAGGTAGGGTTACCTTATCACTCGGGTCAACGGAGGAAAGTTGTCCAGGGTAGGCAAGTTATCAGATAGGCAGATAGGGTAACCTGCTTGCTAGGGTAACCCTACCTGCCTTGTAAACACGTCTTGTAAAAAAGAAGAAAGGAGCGAGTGCTAGAGTAGTCCTCTTGCTACGGTACCCTAGCACCAGGGTTACCCTCCCCCCTTGTAAACAGGGCCTTAAAGGAGGAGATCATGCTGGCAGCCGGCCCCCTGCAAATTTGCGTTGGCTACAGTGCGGGTGCCGAGGTCGCCATACATGCCATGGCCCAGATTTTTGATGAAGATGGTACCGATGAAATCCTGTTGGTTGACGCTAGCAAAATCCAAATAACTTACCCGGAAATTTCCATGTATATCATCCACACGTACGGAGGTCCCTTAAGATTGTTCACCTGTGGAGGAGTAGAGATCTTATCCCACGAAGGGACAACACAGAGTGACCCTCTAGCCATGCCGTGGTATGCGATCAACACATCCATCTTGATTCCGAGCCTAAAAGCGCGTATACCTGAAGTAAAGCAAGTAGAACTGGTTGATGACTCGGCAGGAGGCAGCCTAATGGAACTGTCATACAACTGGTATAAGCTTTTTAGTCAAGAGGGAAAGAAATTTGGCTACCTAATCAATGGCTCCAAAAGTTGGCTAATAGTAAAGCCCAGGTAGTACAGACACAAGATCTGGCAGACGAGGCCGAGTTGGTGTTTGGAGAGGAGGTCACAATTATAACAACGGAAGGTCAATGACACCTCGAAACAGTCACTGGATCACAGGAATACAAAGACCAGTGATGTAGTGGAAAAGCCCAGGGTTGGAGGGAAAACATTGAGTTGCTGGTGGAGGTCGTAAAGAGTCATACCCATGCCACCTACGTCTCCTTCACAAAGGGCTACAAATCGAAATTTCCATATTTTATGCGTACAATTGACTCTTTTGAAGACTATGTAGAACCAATTGAGGAAGCGATCAATGATATTTTCCTTCCAGTTCTTTTTCACCAGACGGAGTCCCTCCCTGCTGAGTTGCGAGAACTATTTGTCCTTCTGCCAGCACAAGGGGGGTCTGGGTATACCAGACCTGAAAGCTGAAGTCTCACAGCAATACGCTGCCTCAAAGTTAATAATAGCACCACATGTAGCAGCTAGACTTGCTAAGATCAACAATGCAGGCCAGAGACAATGATGCAAACTCATGGCTCAACGCCGTAACCCTTAAAGAGCAGGACCTGACATTGAATAGGCAACAATTTAGGGACTCTCTACGCTTGCATTACAATCTGCAACTAGCGGACTTGCCGAGCCATTGCGCGTGTGGAGATCGATTCACAGTCAGCCACGCTCTTTCGTGTAAGAAGATGGGTTTTGGTGCACAAAGACATGGTGGCATCCAGAACCTTCTCACATCTCTGCTCAGCAAAATCTGCAAGGATGTCGAGGTAGAACCCCACCTTCTACCAATCGACAATGAGGTATTCAACCTAAGATGCACCATCACAAGTCCGTCCTGAGGCTGGACTGGACATAAAGGCGGAAGTTTCTGGTCACGAGGAGAGACAGCATTTTTCGATGTATGTTTTACGCATGTGAACTCAACGTGTAACCAGAACAAATCCACAGAATTGATCTTCGTGGAGCATGAGAATGAGAAGAAAAGGAAGTACCAACAAAGAGTTATTGACGTGGAAATGGGATCTTTTATCCCCCTGGATTTTGGCAGGAATGGAGGAATGGGGGAGAATGCAAACTTTTTCTGAGCAACCTAGCGGACAAACTTTCCCGAAATAAACGGCAAGTTGTATGCCAATGCCATATCTTGGCTTAAAACACACATATCTTTTGAAATTTTAAGATCCGTCCACACACGTGTACGAGGGTCCAGAACCCTTTTTCAGAAGAATGCTGACTTTTTAGATGATTTTAGTTTTAATATGAGGAATGCGGACATTTTAAAACTAGTTTTAGTATGCTTTTTAGAGTAGTTTTAGTAGACAGTATTTTTATCAGTTGGCTATAGATAGTTGTTTTAGTAGACCGTGCATTTTATTTAGGATATCTCCTTTCATGCTACATATTGTTTTTATCATTGTAATGACAATAAACGCTTTTTTAACAAATAATCAACAATAGATGTCATGGCTTTTATTTAAACAGGAAGTAAACAAGGAATATCTAGTGAAAAAAGGTCGGGTGTTTCAGTGAGGGGAGAAGGGGTCTGTATACAGGCTAGTGTTTCTCAGTTTTGGCCCTAGGGAGACGAAAACAAAAATGTAAATACCTATTTTTTAGTTCTGTTTTGTTTTGTTTATTTTTATTCATTTTCTCTTCCAGTTTAGACAACCTAAAATTGTTTAGATTTATGTAAATTGCCGGGGAAGGCGCGGGAAATTCGCTGATCAAAACATTGCAGGCTCTTTCTTTTTGTCACGTAATACTTGGTAGTAAATAATCGTGATTGAGAGTAACAGAGATCCTTGAACCACCTGCATTTGAACAAAAAATGAACTTAGGAGGAGATAAATATAGTTATTAATAGGGATAAGCAGGACATTCTGATAGCCTTTTGGAGGCAAAGAAGTGGATTCTAAACAAATATTGGCTGGTCACGGAGCATACATAATAGTGCTTAGATCAACGGCGGTAAGTAAAACTAACGCTATTCTTTTTTTAAGTTGTAGCCTAAACTTAATGACCTTTTTAAGGGCGTAATTTCTTTATTGCTAGAAGGAAGAATTTCTCATCGTTGAATGTTGTTTTTAGATAAGCAAGTTGATGTTGCTTTATGTCTGGCATATACTGGGGTGATTCAAAGCTTGTCAACAACCACTCACCATGTGGCCTTGAAAGTTCTGCCCAGGAAATTAAAAACAGCTTGGTTTTGTCACAGTAAAGACCATAAACACTTGAATGAAGGACTTCTGTATAGTTGAACTCGTAAGAAGAGTAATCTTTGATTTTGCGAGAAAATCAAAACAAGGTCACAAACATTACGATTTTGCCTTCGATATTTTGGTGACGTGCATTACTAATCAGTGTGGCATCTTTAATTTTGTCTTAAAATCTAGAGCGTTTTAGGCGTGCATTAAGCTCCTCAATTATCATTCTTGTGTAACGGGCTGGAAAGTGTCGGTTTAGTAACTTCAGCGGCCCTTTTATAGGACAGGTGAAGTGGAAATAAGCTTGTTTTAGGTGCAGTTTTCAACTGGCATCTGACGCCCAAAAAAGGCAGAGCCCAGAAATAGCAAAATTATTTTCATAGCTTTCTGGCAAGGAGAGATATTTGATCTCAAAATCAGCAAATATTTGAATGGCTAAAAAGGTGGTCCAATATTCAAGGCCGTTGATTGACAAGCTGTCAGTCAAATTGACTGAAACTTACATCCTTACATTTGTCAAAGATGCATCAACATATATACAAACCCTCATAGTCAAAGGTTAAAAACAGTTGTCCTGAGAGCTTCCTACTTTTGCCTGTTATTAATGCACTTTTATTGGTAAAAAATCTAATTAAACCAGTTGGGTGGGTACACCTGCCTGGTGCACCCACGGACTCACTCTTAACACAGAATACCCAAAAAAGTTATCGCCAGTTTCAAGAAGGTAACATCCACATTCTTTGATTTGTATTTTCCACAGAATTTTGTAGTTGACAACACAACATGCAGCCAGCCAGGTGTATTTGATGGTGACAATGCATCACTACTGAATGAAGTTATATGTGAACACCTGCTACGGCAAGGGAGATTAGATATTGCGGAACAGTTGATAATGGTAACTTAACCTTTACTGCCTTGTGTCCAAGGTGAAAGTACCCAAAAGAACCTGCTGAGTCATCACATGTGATTTCCTTATTTATTTCATTATAAGCCGAGCGATTTTTACACAAATTAAAGCTAAAGTTCAGTGAAATTTGAGCACCATAGGGGGTCTTGGCTTGAAAACAATTTTTTTTTCAGTGCATTGAAACTCCACTAAACTCTCACTAAATGGAGATGTATTCACTTATAAGCCAAGTAAACAGCAGCAAAAGATCAAATCATTAACATAATTAATCTGAATGTTGAGTTAGCTAAGCACAGAAATTCAGTCCCAAATTGTCCAAATAGCTGTCAAAAACAGGTCTCACATCTAAAACCTCACATTGATAAGCCTTTTACAACGAGGGAACGTGTAAAACAGATGAAAGATGTCATGAAATGTGTAAACAATCCGCCATGTTTGGTCAAACATGTGCTTCCAAACATTTGCCTGTTTACTAAGCACAGACAAACGCAACACGAACTGATGTGGTTTGTTTTGATTGAAAGACAATTTATGTGATCATTTCAAGCATAATGCAATGAAGACATGAGGAAAGATCCATAGAAGCAAAAAGCCCAAACAACAATTGTACATTTTCCTAGAGAAGGTCACATTTTTTTCGAAAATGTTTTGTTTTACGGTCGTTCAAAGTCTTGTAATGAATAGGTTTCAGCTTACAGCCAGGTGTTTTGGGTTTATCTTTTGTTGTTGGTTTTGCTGATTCTACAAGTTGAAAGTTTAGGGTCTCGGCTTATAGCCAAGATCAGCTTATAGCCTAATAAATACTGTAATCAAACATTGTTCTTTCTTTTTTTGTTTTTAGGAAGCTAATCTGCAGTTAGATGATTCCAGAAAAGAACCTTTTACTGAACTAAATAGAATCCTAGAGGCCTGTAGGGACCGCAACTTGGATCCAGCACTTCAGTAAGACAAATACCAATAATCGATATGTGCCACTATCTTTACTGCAAGTTAATCAGAGTAACATAGGTACCACAACTTGGATCCAGCAATTCAATAAAGCCCCGTGCAAACAAACACAACATTGTTGGCCAACATCTCCCAACCTTGTTGGATGCTACATTTTGCGTCTGTTTGCACACCCTGTTGCATGTTGTTGCGTGTTGTTATGAGTTGTTGTGCAAAGTTTGAAACCAGTCAACCTTTTGCGGAAACAAATCCCAACCTTTCTTTTGTTCTGTGATCGCTGAAGTGTAGCGTAACAATGTTGGATCCATTTGCACAGCTCTTCCAACAATGTTGGGGCCATGCACGCGCATTACATGTGGTCTCCTTGGAGATAGTAATGCAATAACTTCGCATGATACAGCAACAAGCGTGATGGGCCAACATTGTTGGGAGTTGTTTCATCCATTTGTGCACCATTGCCAACATGAACAAAACAACCCCCAACACTGTTGATGCATCCATTTGCACGTAGGTTAAGAAGAGTACCAATTATTCATATGTGTCATTAGCTTAACTGCAAGTTAATCAAAGTACCGTATCATTTTTTGGAACTTGTATCATCATTAGAGGTTTCTGAAAAGAGTAACTGCAGTCTTTCCTGAGTTATAATTCTCAAAAATAATGTATTTTCACCTTTTGCATCATTTGGTTTTTGATCTCTTTGTTTTCTTCCTTAGGTGGGCTCAGTCCAGGCACAAGGAACTCAAAGTCAGAGGAAGCTCATTAGAATTCAGACTTCATAAATTGAAGTTTCTGGATCTCCTAAGAGAAGGACATCATAGAGAAGCACTTCAATACTCAAAACACTTTGCAAGATTTGCTTCTGATCATACAAAAGGTGGGATAAACTGTATGGTTACTTTACAGTTTTAAAAAACAGTAATTGGCTCAAACGTTTACTCCACAAAATAGTCACACAAGTACTTTGAAAAAGAAGCTTGTCATGCAAATGTACAAAATCATTGTTTTAAGGTAATTCCCTTGAAAAGGATGTTCTATACAGATTTCTTTCAAACTCAGCACAAATGTCAGCAATGTATAGGACATTCAAAAATTGCAATAAAAAGATGGGGTCACTGTGATTCTTTTCACCCTGTGTGCCTGTAATTCTGACTGTTTTTTCCTAGTTGTGTGCAAAATGCTTGAAAATTGAACAACCAACAAAAATTCTTATCACGTAGCAAAAACTGAGAATTCTTGATGGCAGAAACTGCTTAGAGTATGCTGGTGGTGATAATCGTGTCCCAGCTTCTAAAAAGACCCTGTACCATATTTATCTTCATTTATCCACTGACTCAAATTTTTTGGTGCCCTGGAAATTTGGGGCTGAAGTGGAATAGGTCATTTTGCATTTGTGTGCTCAGTGCCTTACCCTCTGAATATTTACAAGGCTGAAGGTTACCTTGTTTTATTACAAAACGTGCATGCAAATGTTACTATTTTCATGCTAACGAAGGAAAACAGGAAGGTTTGTAACAAAACAAAGACACCTCCCACCCTGCTTCTAGGGCACAGAGGCCTATCCTGGCTACTGCCTCTTTTTATCGATCCTGGTCTCAGAGGTTTTTAGTGATTTTTCTCCACTGATTTTTCTCTGTGTGAAAGGGAACGATCTGCAAAGGGGTGAAAGTAATTCACAAAGCAGTGAGGAAGAGAAAAAAGTTTTCTCTCTTCCTTGCCACTTCGAGGCTTGTTCCCTCTCACGCTGAGAAAAATCATGAAAAACCTCTGGGACCAGGTTAGATTAAAGGCTCACATGGCTTACACGGCTGTGCTCTAGTGGCACCCAGTGGCCCCTGGACCTTTACTTCTACTCTTGGACAACTATCATCATCATAATTATGTTGGGCACCTTGTTTAACATGGGTCGCGGGCATTGAGCTACCTTTCGATATTTTTTTAGAGCACAGCTGACCAGAATGTTTTCAAAATAGTAAGGTGTAAATTACATGTTTACTCAGTTGCAAGCTGCTCTCTTTACTCATTCAACAGAAGTACAACAGTTGATGGCTTGCCTCCTGTACAGCCGGACAGGTCTGGAAAATTCACCCTATGCCTCACTACTCGACCCAGTTCATTGGCTAGACATCTGTGATATATTTGCAAAGGATGCCTGTGCATTGTTAGGTTTGTCACTGGAGAGTCCACTGCAGGTGTGTGTTACAGCTGGCTGTGTGGCACTGCCATCACTTCTTCAGCTCAGACAAGTTATGCAACAGCAACAGGTTGCAGGTGTTTGGACATCCAAGGATGAACTCCCGGTAAGCAGCTTGTCATCAAATGTTTGGTTGTGTAGTGGCTAGTTTTTTGTATTTTTGTCGATTTTGTTATTTCCAATTTGCATGTATATGTAACTACAACTGTACAAGCTCTATACTTCAAACTGGTAAGAAAGTAGTGTTTTAACATCAGTCACCACCAGATCTCTCTTTTACAGAAATGTGTCAGGCAATCATTATCAAGGCTGTTCTCTAGCATCGCCTGGTGACACCCTGCTGGTTCATTTGCTCTTGGGAAACTAGGAAATCTTAGATTTTGCATAAAAATCATATCCAGGGAACCCTGTGTTGTAACTCCTGAAGGATTATCCATGGGTATACATAAAGTTGACTTGACTACCATAAAATATGATCAATTAAATGCCTCTACTTGAATAAGCGCTGCTCTCGAATAACCGCCGTTCCTTTACCAAAAGTAATTTAATATGCGCCGCGGCGCTAATTTGGGTATTTACAAATTAACACCCCACCTTTTTTAGGGTGCTTGATATACGACCAACTCAAGAGTTCTAAAGTTTTAATGTAGGGAAACTCTTGAAATCGGGTTCATATAACAGTTCGAGGTGTACATATTTTATATTAAATTGTACATACCTAGTACGCGCCTCACTTAATTCTCTCTATATTCCCCTCAGTGTTTTTATCCGTGGTTGAAATAAGCGCCACACCTATAACAGGGAAAATGAAATATGCGCCCCGGCACTTAATCGATTAATTAATTTAGTTGAATTTGTATTTTCAGGTTGAAGTTGATCTTGGTCCTCGGTATCGCTATCATTCACGCTTTGCATGTCCAATTCTAAGACAGCAATGTACAGATAGTAATCCTCCAGTGCGACTGTCATGTGGACATGTTATCTCTAGAGATGCTCTCACTAAACTCACTAATGGAAACAAGTACGCTTATAATACGAACAATGAACAATTATTGGACGAGGTTGAGCAAAATATAATGATTTGTCAGTCGCGAGCTGATCAATTATTTGCCGAAGGCGAAGGCTGATGCAAATAATTGATCTGTGAGACACTGACAAATCACGATATATTGCGATAACTGAGTTAAATAATTGTTTTATGATTCGATTTTAATGGATATCTTCGGGAACCGAAGCGTTCTGCCATTTTTCACGTAAGAGGAGAAAAGCGTGATTTCGTTTCGTTTACGCATGAACAGAATTTTATTTGCAGCCAAACTCTTAAACCAAACTCAGTTGGATGGCGTTGCGCATGAGCAGACCATTATTTGTGGGCAGTTTTTGCAGGTCACGTGGTGGGCTTTCGGCCAATGAAAAGGAAGAACAATTTGAATCGAATGATAATTTGGGTTGTAAATGGTTGTCTTAATTGACGTGTCTGGTTTCGATTGGGCAGTAATGTATTATATTTTGTGGCTTCATGATATCCTTTGGTTTGTAGTCATAATTTATGCAGGGCTCCTTTTGATACCAGCCAATAGCTGATAGGGCTAACCTGCCTAAATAAAGTTGACTTGACTTGACTCGGTGTACGTGCAGAGCTGTTGTTTTGCTCCTAAGACATTTTTTACGTCGACTTCGTGGTTGTTTAAACTGCCTATTTGATGCGTAAAGCAATTTGGGTAAACTTTCAGTTTTTCACTCAGTTCACTTGCATATCAACTGGTATCATTAGTAACCATTACGCTTCTTTTCCTTTATTAGAGTCAAGTGTCCATATTGTCCTCTGGAAATGACTCCAAGTGATGCCCGTCAGATAAATTTCTACTAACGAAAGCCTCACCCAAATCCCAGGACATGCTCCCTGCTCCGAGGACGTTGGCATTCTCCTGCTGGCTACACACGCCTTCTCTGGGTCGTCTAACGAGACAACGGCTCTGTAGGAGCTGGGACAGTGGCTGCTTTATAGGGCCTAGTTAATGGAAGGCCCGTAGGGTACTCTTTTGTATAAGCTATATAAGTTTGTTCGGCGCCAAAAAGTGTGGTTTTTGAGCCCTTTGTTCTGGATGTCGATAGCGAAGGGTAAGGTTTTGTACTCTCTGGAACTCGGGTCTGGAATGGGGCACGTTTGTTTATCATTCGCTCGCTTGAAAACAATTGTGCAGGTCTGAAAGTCACATAAATTGGTTTGAATTAAAGTAAGGGTTTCAGAAGTATGCCATACACTCCACCGGCAGCCGGCAGGGCTGTCACTAAGGATCGGGGGCCGGGGATTTCCCCACGGCTACTATGAGCACGACCCCCGGCTCCGTAGGAAACAAAAGAAATTCCTAGCTGTTCAATTTCCCGGCTACTAATTGTATATACCCGGCAACTTGAAATCTTAACGACAGCCCTGCCGGACACCTCAGGGGCGGATCCAGGATTTTTTTTAGGAGGGGGTGCACTCGTCTCTTGCTCTCCTTTAACACCAATAAACCACATAGGTTTTTTTTGGCAGAATAGATGTTGTATTAGAAAACCGCAGGTCATCACAGGGGGGGGGGGTGCCCACCCCCTGCACCCTCCCCCTAGATCCGCCCCTGCACCTTACTATCCAGTACTATGTCAAAGGTTGCTCCTCCAGATACATTCTGAGACGAGAAAAGATTGTCTAAAAAATAAGTAAGTAAAGCATCTTTTCATCAAGCCTGGTCTGGACTTAAATCTCAGCTAGGGCGATTATCAAAAATGTACATAAATTTGTAGTGTAAACATGTATTTAATACGTCGTGATTTTCGTATACTCATGTACACGACACAGTTCCCGGTGAAAAAAATTAAAATTTAGAAACTCGTTTCAGATACTCGAGTTTTGTTGGTAACTTATGGGTTGCTTACGAAACTAGTTTCGCCTCCTATGTATGTGTTACGTACCTTATACTAAATTCCTACGAAACTCTTTGAACTTTGGACCGAATTTGTATTAAGATATAAGGATTGTTGTTTAATCATTTTAAAATAAATACATATCTCACCGTCACATTCATTTGGACACAAATTTTAATTTGAAACTATTAAATACATCTACCTAAGTTTGGTTGTCACGAAAAGCAGAATTCACTGAAGACCCTTGTATTAAAGGAAGTTTTGAAAAAATCAATGAAAACGCATCAGTTCTTTGTATTTTTGCCTACACCCGCGTCTTACACACACTACCCACGAACTACAACAAGTTTTGCTCGTTTCCTTTTAATAAAAGAGCAGTGGTCTCTCAGCCTCCAAGGGTCTGACGAGAAACCACTGCTCTTAGGGTAGATTTACAAGATAAGATTCAAGCCAAGATAGCATACATGTATCCTCTCTTCTAAAAGCATAAAAACAACAATGTTTAATTGGAAATCGTAAATCATCAAAATCCTTGATTTATTCATCAAAGTAACTGATTTTACGGGAGTCAACTGGACCAGACATTCTCGTTGAAATTGGTCCAACAGACGCCGGGACTATAGAGATTTGTTTTTCTCCTCCTCAGTACTTTTTATCACTAAGATATTTCTTGTAGTGTCCCCCCAGCTGACATGAATTGAAGACTCGATAACTCTAGGCGATGTTGATGTCTTTCTTTGATTAACTTCGACTGATGTTTTTGTTCCTGTGAACGCTAATTACAAAAACAAACCCGCATTTGTTGTCATCCTGTCCTTAAAATAATTGTCTTTATTCGCTGAAAGATTTGAACCGCAATATTATTCATAACTTTCTATAAATAGCCCAAAGTTTCCCCATTATCTGGCTTGCGTGAAAATTTGCGAGGCGATCCGATGTCCCTGGCACGCAAAGTTTCATTGGAGCGAGTAGCGATGATGTTACTCGATGTTTAAGCATTTACTCGTTTTTACAACTTTTTCGAAAATTTTTCATATCTCGTATAAGTTTGGAATAAGAAAGTTCAAGGGGTCGTTTCCAGGAGTGAAGGGTAAAATAAAAAAATAGAAAACATCTAGGGGCTTTGGACCTAGCCCTTAATACCTGAGTTAGCCATAACAAAAAAAGCACTAGATAGGAAAACAAAAGTATTTTCGTCTTCGTTTAAAAATCCCATCCCTTAGTAGACATACTAATTTTTAATGCTCAAACTAGTTGTTTTTCTTTTTGGTGAGCTTAGACTCTTTTCCTGTCGACGACTCTTCGTGATCTTAAGAGTTTGTTGCATATTTTGCTTTATAGCTTATCATCAAGAATCACAATTCGCGAAAACAATAATTTTTTATGGCTTTTGAACGATCACACTAACGACTCATGTTCTGATAAACAACTTTCAAACTGACGCCAGTAAATTGTTTCATTTTTAGACTCAAAAGTATCATGTTAAGACTTTTTTTTTCTAGTGATACATGATAAACAAGAAAAGAACTTTCATTTTCTTAGCATTAATCAATCTCAAAGCCAGTTAAAGTGCACTGAAAAGCAGTTGTGTTTCAGTAGAGTTTACTTTTTTGCAGTATTTGCAATACGATCCCTTCAGAGAAACAGGTTGGGTTTTATCCACGACCGGAGACTTGTAGAATTTCCTTCGTTGCATATGCAAGAAAGTTTTTACTTCTACGCTGTAATTTAGTGCTTCTTTCTCTTTCAAAAAAAACACCTTAAGGAAGTGCTACTCAATTTCATTAATATGGATACTTGATTTCAAAGAAAATATGAATATCAAAAGGTTGCAATCATATTGTTAAGAAAACACAAAGCATAACAAGCTTTAATGGTCATGACTCAAAGCACGGTAGTCGTGGGTGTGCTCAAACGTTAATAGAACTGCTTAAAAGCCTAGTAAAGAGCTCTGTGGTCGCACTTAACACCATCTGCGGCATCTGCACATATAAAAATTCGAAAAAACGTGGGCATTCTAAATTAAATTCACAATGTGCTGTTTTTAAGGTTTAAAATGAGCAATCTTACGTCATTGTGCGTAGTTCATATTTCTGTTCCTTTCTCTCCTTCTTCTTTCTTTGTTTTGCTTTGTTTTATTGAGAAAACTATCGGATAAACAAGTGACTACAAACAATACCAAAAGACAAAATAGACGCAGAAATACGCTGCAAGAACTTTAATCAATTGAGACCTCCCATGCCACTTGTTTTATTTTTTTCAACGGAAGTTTTTTTTTGTTTTGTTTTGTGGTTAACGCCGAAGTTAATTTTGGCTCCTTGGCTCGAGACTCCTAACAAACAAACAAAGACTTTTTGTGGTAAACAAGCTGGGGTCACGTAGGTTTTTTTAGATTTTCTCTTTTACAGACATGAGATCAAAGGTGCATATCAGTTGGTAATAAAAAGGTAGAGATTTCTTTGGGTGCTTTAGAAGGCTAAAATTTTCACCTTAAAATCGTATGCCAGCCATTTAGATGTTACCGCAAACAATAAATCAATTTTTAGCCCCAATTCCATGGCGGGTTCATTTCCTAGGCACAGCGAGTCAAGTATATTTTGCTCCTATATGATGCGATGCCGAATGTTTTTGAAAAATAAAGATTGCAATGTCTGCACTACTTTATCTCTTATTCATTTTATTTCTAAATAATGTACCTAAGGCTAACACCTCAAGAAAATGCCATGACTACAAAAAACTTTTCCACAAAAACAGCCAAACAATGTATAAGCCATTTCCTTTTAAGGAAACTGTATTTATATTTCGAGAGAGGAGTGGGGATTTTTCCCCGCCTAGCTGTTTGTTCCTTATTTTCTATTCCACCTACAAATAGATCATCAATTCAACTCATTGTACACCAAAATGATCATTTTAGTCCTACTCCATGATGAAAAAAACTAGGCAAACACAAGAATTTTATTCCATAAATGAAACACCGTCTTTGTCATTTGTTTCGCCAGAAACGGTACTGTACTTATAATGGTTTTGGACTTAAAAGCTTACTGAATTCAAGAACATAAGCCTGCGTAGCAAGCGTTTCCGCGCGATTTCGTCGAGAAAGTTGGGACGAGAGCAAAAAAAGGAATTTTTTTTTTGCTCCTGCTCTGACTATCGCGCAATAACTCGATTGGAAACACTTGCTACGCAGGCTACATGAACATCGATTTGATCGTAGTGAGAGAGAAATGGGAATGACTATTCTCTCTTGATTGTAGACACCACTGAGTTAAGAGTCGGTCAAGTTTCTTTTTACCGAATGGAACGAACTACCTAAGTCCTAGAAAGGCGTTGCGTCTAAACATTTCACCGCTCTTACTTTTCTTAACAGCTTGCAGTGACTTTAACCTTGTCAAAAGTCTAAAAACAGACAACTGTCTCAGTTGTTCATTGATTACCCGATATTTGAAGTTCTGTTTCCTCTTTTCCAGCTTAATCAGTACTTGAACTTTCCTTAAATAAATCCGTAGCAACGACCCCGGTTAAACAAAAGGATAACTTCATAGCGTGAGCAGAAGTGTCGTTAGGACAGACATCCACGCCCCGTCCCCAGAGGGGGCGGGGGTCATCCTCCACGTTCTTCATTAATACCATATATTTCAAAAAGAACAACATCTGTGTTGAAACCTTTTTAGAGCCAAATCCTTAAGAATGAAAGCTGCATTTGAAGCATGCGTTTTTAGTTCGTTTTAAATCACCAACTTTTGATACAATCTCTGATATCTGCCATCAGTGCCCACTGATTTCCTTTATTATGATTGGGTGTCTCAGCATTATTTGAACATCTGTTTTCGTGAAATAAATTTGCCTATGGCTATTCGTATTTCTTTATATTTTTGCGTAGATGATGACGGAAGCGAATCAAGACCCTCGTCAGAGGATTATGAAAAAGAATATCAAAAGTCTGAGCAAAAAAAGCCTGCCTTACTACGAACGTTTTTCACTCTATATTCCTTTATTCAGCTCCTAATCTATTTTAATATTTTTTGCGTTTCCGCTTCACGTCTCGTTGGTTGCCAAAAGTGCAAACAGCATCCGTATCCTTTTTTATGTCTAATTTCGTATTATGCCTGAATCGTGTCAGGCAAGATTTATTATTTTTAATCCCAATTCTTGTTGGTGAATCAAATTAGTGCCGTTATGCTCTGCGTAATGGGTAATTATTTTAATTTGTATAAAACTGCCCAAATTGAGTTGTATCTCTTTACTAACTTATGCCCAATCACGCGTTTTCCACGCGGCCCCATACGGCATTAAATAATCAGTTTATTTTTAGCGGAAAAGCAAGATAATTATTTTAATTGTATATCATTTAAATAATACAGCACGAAATAAATAACTTGAAGCTTTTTTGTTGTTTTCGGTGCTGAATTTGTTACCAAATCGTTTCAGCTGATAGATCTGTTAGTCTTTTTTTAAAGAATATCACATTTCGCATCAAAATAGAATTCAGGAAGAATAGCTGAGCTTGCCTGACCCAAGTAAAGAAAAAGCCTGATTGTACTATGTTTAGTCTAGTTCCCGAATGTGGGAATTAGTACGTCACTGACACGCCACTTTTCTTACCCTAAATTTTCGTTAGATGTTTTTCATTCAATTAGATATTCTCTATGCTTTGAACAAGAGAGAGAAATTATTTTTATCCTTTCTATTCAAATCGAGAACAACGGCAACTAGCGAGATGTGACGCACTTATGACCTTAGGTCTTAAACAATAGAAATTCAATGGCTCCAGACCTCCGCGATTGGGTGGGTGGTTTTTATTTATAGATGGACAACCAGTTGAATTTAGAACCTCTCGATTTCATATTAAATTTAATCACGTCCACATCTGGTCTAGGCACGAGTGAAAGAACGTCCGTTGCGATTGATTCCCTCTTGACAGCTTGTCTAAGAAGCTGACAAAACTGTCAAAAAAATAAACGCCTGTGCTTTAAGAATCACAGACTTCCTCAAACTGGTCAGAAGTATGCACGCTGTGAGAGAGCAGAGATCCAGAGAACACGAGAGTCACCAAGTTGCTTCCATTCATATCGACCGAGAAGCAGCCATGGAAAGAATCAATAACAGGCGAAAGTCAAGCTCAAGTCTTTTGACTCGACATCTTTTGAAT